CTCAATTATACATATAATTCATATAAAGTTGTGTAATATTTAATGGTAACATTAAAAAACGCGAGTGCAAGAAGACCCTAGCCTACACTAAAGAAATATAACAATTGATGTTGCTACTCGCGGGTATTTTTTATACCCGCGGTCACTTAACTCGTCAAACATACTAAGTATACAACTGGTCACCCGTGTTGATTCGGATCTTTCATCCTACAACATGGTTGGGGACCAGAGGAACACAAATAGCATGCGACTTACGAGTGATGAACTTGTGCCTCTGGGATGACTGCATGATGATGATTGCTGCTGCTGCTGCTGCCCAGTGGAAGTCATCAAAGCCCCCCTGCATGGTCCTGCTATAAAGAATAAGAAAGCAATTATAATCTATTGTTAAAATTACAGAGATTTTTAATTAAAAATTTCAAAGTATAAATTTATACTTACGTTGTTCGCTAGTGGTCCACTGCCCGATACTCCCCGAGTACTGCTGCTGGATACCAAGATCAGGTTCAGAAACTGTAAGAAAATTGTAAGAAAACAATTAGAATCTGTTGTTAAAACTGTAGAGATTTTTAATTAAAAATTTCAAAGTATAAATTTATGCTTACATTGTTTGCTCGTGGAGCATCGCCTAATAATCCTCTTCAGTGATGCACTGACTCTAATTCCGGTAACGAGGAATTTAAATTTCAAATTGAAAAAATAATTAATTTGATTGAAAAGTATTAAATTAAATTACCGCGACCGAAGATTCAAATCGGCGAACAAATGACTCTATTCTCGCGATTCAGAAAACAAGGAGAGCCACGATGCTCTGTAAATAATTTAATACCGCGTAAGAAACACTGCTTCTATTCTCGCGTTTGCCTAACACCGTGAACGATAACGAGCTTGGGGTCACTTTGCCCCGAAAAACAAACTTGTTGCTACGTACAATCACTGAATCTACCGGCCGCATTGCGCGCGGCCAACAAATTTCCTGGAAAGAAAAGAGCTGAAAATAAAGGGAGAGGAAATAAGAAACACAACAAGCACATCTGTGCTTTGCCTATCGATTTTTGTTTTTCTTCTTACTAGAGTTCGACAACGAAAATACTGCTTTAAGTACTGCTGTATACATAGTTTATCCCGTACGAAATATTCTCAATCAATGAGAATCTCACAGACAAAATAATATCTAGGAAAATAATTATTCGATTTATAAATATATCACCAAGTTTCATAATTAGAGCTGTAAGCATGATTACATTTACTTTATCGAATGTTAGAATATCCCGTAAATTTTATAAATATTCCGAAATTTGCAAGAATTAAAGTTCGCTAGTTATTTATGCTCGAATAGCATATTCCAACTACGCAGTTACTACGTTTTCTAAAACTTGTATCGAAATATGTATGCAAATTGCAATTACAATAATTCATAAAGAAATATAAACGATCAATTAAATAGATATCAGTCGGAAATATTTAATCGCGATCAGAATACAGCCTAATATAAACTATTCCAATTTATCATTTATATCTACCGACGCCGTTTCTATATACTTCGATATGTATCGAAGTAGATAGAAAGTTTGTTAACGATTTTAATATTTATCTTAACAATGATCGATTACAAAATTACGATCATGCTTGCAACGAACGATTTAATAATGAAATAAAAATATATAAATATTAATATGGGTGTTCATTTTTGTTGTAATTGTTTAAACGTTACCAATATTCCCTCCAGAATATGTCGACTCTGCCATCTGTTATGGTGTACTTTACGCGCCAATAAAGCATCCCATGGCGTCGAATTTCAATCAGAGACTGCAACAGAAATAAAATACAAATTAAATCATAATTAAACAATGATCGATTATAATGAGGAAATAGCAAAAGGTTAGAAATAATTACTTCGTTGGTCGCGAAACTCCGACACGTCTTGAGAGGTTTCAACGAGTCTTATTATTTCTTCATTTCGAATTCCAATAAGAGGCTGTAACAGAAACGAAATAACGATGCATTAAAGTACACGAACGATTATTATAATTAAGTAATGGTTAAATCGAGACCGTATTGCAAGAGATCGTATGTAGTAATACGCGAGTAGTAATAGTGGAAGGATAAACAGGTTAGAAATACGCACCGCGGTCGCGGAACGCCGATACGCCTCGACACGTCTTGCTATGTTTGTTTACAACGTACGAATGATGGCCGACCGCTGTGCTCGGCGACGCTCGCGAGTTAGGCGGCGGGGTGGGGGACGCTCCGATGTCTCACGAAGCTTGTTTACGAACCCGAGGGATACCTCGGATAGAAACCGCGGATAGACTGATTTTTAGCAAATTATTTACAACTTTAACTAATCAAGGAATCGCGAACAATTTCAACTGGTATGCATTTACACGCACTGGCTGCTGCCTATCACACTAATTCAATGAATTTCTCCACTGACCGCCATCCATGAGAAGAGGCCGCCAAAATCGCCACCGAATTTTTTGGTCGGTATGGCAGTCAGATTCGGCCACGAAAGTCCATATGGTAAAAAGTGAAAGGACTTTCGTGACCCAATCTGACTGCCATACCGACCTGAAAATTCGGCGGTCAGTTGAAAAATTAATTAATAATTATTGCAAACAATAGGTATGAAAATATGGAGAAATTCGAGGAGACTGAAAGTTTCTTTGAATTTCTATCGAGAACCAAGGTCGTACATCGCGTATTCATATCTATTCGTATACCTCGTCTGTGTTTCGCGTAGCATCAAAAGAAAAACGATAGCTTGGAATGTTTACTGTATTTCTTTTACAATCGCAATTCCTACGCTTCTCGAATTTTGTTTCTCGATTACTGATAAGAAATGAATACGTGATGTACGACCTTGGTTCTCGACAGAAATTCAAAGAAACTTTCAGTCTCCTCGAATTTCTCCATATTTTCATACCTATTGTTTGCAATAATTATTAATTAACATCAGGCGATTGTTAAAATAATGCTCGATAGCGTGGGTCGTATAAATAATTGTTTTAATACCATTTTGTGTAGAATATTTATTTTTCGGTCAAAGGCACGGTTAACCGTTAATTGATTGGTAAACTCGCCAAGGACGGTCATCCCCACCCCTTTAATTCTTCTACCTGAGGTTACCTGCCGGTGACTCTCTCACTCTCTCTCTCTTTCTCGGCGCTGGCGGACGTGACGGACCCCCGTGGGTCCGCGCTCCACCTTTACTCACTACTACTGACCACTGGTCGAGCACTGGTCAACTCTGATGACCAATATTGACCATTAGTGACCAGTAGTGAGCGAGTTCCGTCTCTCCTCTTTCTAATTTCCTTTTCGACCTTCGAGCGTCTGTTGGGCTTGAACGTGGGGTTTCATCTTGCTTTTACTTCTTTGGTCTCCTTCCATATTTCAATACTTGTTCCTTGTTTGGTTTGTTCGATGAACATTCTCCATATATTGCATGTACAAATCTATTTCATTGACCACTATCGACACAGTGCTGAGTGATATCTCAATCTCCAATTTCTCACTTGTTTTTCGACATTCAAATGTCTGCTGGGCTTGGCCCTATCGTTTCTCCCCGTTTTCATCTGTCTGGATTCCTTACATATTTTACTTCTGGCTCCTTGTTTGTTCCCATATTTTATTCTTGTGTTAAATGTTACTTATTGTATATGTTGTGCTCTTGTCCATGTCTATTTTACGTCACTGGTTTCCCTGGGTCCATTTATTTTACTTCGGAGCTTCGTGTTTACCAATTCATTATATTTAATTGTTTAACTAATCATAAATGCCGCCTTTTTTAGTTTTTTTCAGATTACTTACAGGTCTCTATTATCGTTGGACATCGCGGGACATCGTGGGACTTTTATTTCCAGGTTAAATTTATTTTTAAGGCCGCGATACCAAGCAATTATTAACTTAGCTTCCCGTTCACTCGTTCTCTCGTTTCTTGCTTCGATCCGAAGATTTGCTGCACGGTTCAGCATCGCGTCGCGTCGCGTATCCCATAATTTAGCTTCACCCCTTTTTAAACAAAATAATTGCTTGGTAAAATTAGATATAAGCATCGACGACTCCCTTGTATGCGTCTGCGTATGTGCCAAGTAATTCTTTCCCCAACTAGCTACTCTCGTTCACCCGTTGTCCCGTTTCTCGTTCCGGTCACCACTGCTTTGATGTAGAAAGCAAGTGATCGGCCGTTTAGCTGGTCCGAAGGGTCAGTTGCCGTCCTCTGGCGAGACGATCCAAGGGAAAGAGTATTTCGGCCGTAGAGGGGATCAGGGACTGTTCCTGTCTACGGTAGCCCTGACACACGCTCCCTCTCTCAGTCAGCCGTCCCTAGTTGGGTCCATCTGGTTCCCAACAGGATGCGTGGGAGAAATGGGGAACCTCTGTGTCAGGTGCGTCGATTCCCTTCCCCTTCGATTGGACTTGCCAAGAGGCAACGGAGCTGAGTCTTTTGACCAGTTACTCGGTTCGCGTGTCGCGTATCTCGTTCCTTGCGTCGATCACTGCTGATCGACGTCGCGTCGTATCGCGTCGCGTCGCGTCGCGTATTCCACAATATAGCTTCATCCCTTTTTAAACGAAATAATTACTTGGTACAACTAAACCAGAAGATCGAAGGAACATTGCTTCCTTCTATCTCTCTAGTTTAGTAATCTAGCTTGTAAGAATGTAAAAGGGAGATCGATGGAACTTTGATTCCATCTATCTCCCTTCGGGTCTCCACTCGCAGCAACCTCCACGTGGTGAGACCTGGGTAATATTATTTAGAGTTTAATTAATAATCGTATCACTCTTAGCTGGGGAATGCAATTATTAATTAAAAACTAAATAATATTAGCAAATTGGCTGCGATCCGATTTTAATTTTGATTCTCATTGATTTATCAAAGATTCTAAAGTATTGTCAGAGACGAGGTATACGAGTAGATCTTTCACCCAATGTATTTTTTCGGCACATTTTTATGGGCTCACGAAACCCCTTTACCATTTTCGTGTAATTCGCAACGTTACCAACAGATTCAGAAATGAATTTTAATCCCTTCCATAGTCATCTCACATGTATTTACGTAAGTACACGCTACAGCTGTCTGCCTGCAATACCAATTCAGCGAATAGTTTCTCCATTGACCGCCATCCATGAGAAGAGGCCGCTAAAATCACCTCCGAATTTTCAGGTCGGTATGGCAGTCAGATTGGGCCGTGAAAGTCCATAAGGTGAGAGGTCTACTCCGTATATCTCGTCTGTGGTAGTACGAGCATTCGGCAGTGGGTAACCTGTGGCGCTTGAAAGTTCATTCATTCCGTCAGACTTCAGTTAGGCCGTGTTGTGGGTCGTTGAAAGGTGATGGATGGCGCGTGTCGTGGAACGGTGACACGAAGTTGACATATTGCGCGAAAACTGTATAAATCCTGTCTTCATTATTCTCTCTGATATCATTTTATGATCCCCGTCATATACACTAATGGCAGGAGAGTTGCGTAAAGAGAAGTTCACGGGTAAGCTGTATTTAGATGCTCCCAAGCATTAGAATCCACAGTGACTTTGGATCGATACGCGGATATACTCTTAATACCGATGAATTCTTTTCGCCGCGGATGCTGTTTCATATTTTTTATTATAGTGCGTTAGATACTTCGTTTCTTTTATTATCATTGCGAGCGAAAGGTTTCTTTTTCGTAAAAAATCAAAGTGTACTAGACGGAATTATTCCGTACGCACTTGTAATTACGAAGATAAACTGCTATTAATTAAGTTGTTCCGTTACGAGAGCCGTACAAAAGAGACGTCCCTTTGATCAAACACCCTTTGAATCTAAAAATTTTTTTAATCGTAGGCGTGTCGCTGGACCAATTGAAATAATTATCATGGCACAATGTCGAAAAATCATGACGGAAATGGGTTGTGTTTGTTCTAAAAATTTTAAACATGAAAATCGAATATTACAAACCATTTGACGTACACTGAGCAGTTTATATTTTAAGAGAGGAGGGGAATAACATAATAGCAGTAACAAATTCACTGTTCTATAAAGTACACGGATTGAAACTATTTACAGTGCCATTTCTTTTTTTAGACCTAGAGATGAACATATGTATGCTATTGTGTAATACATTGGTATTTATTTCAAAGGCATTCCTTACTTTACATCCTCCGTTTAGAGATATTCTTTTCTTCCTAATTTAGATTCTTATGCATTACTGCACATTATTTTTAAATCAGAAATTTGTTTACTTTCAATGACCGATATATTCAGTTCTAGTTCAACCAAAATTGATCCTTCATTTACATACACCGGAAAGCTCCACAATGTTCTATTGCGATATTGAAATTCATCAACGATGGAAGAAAGAAAACTCTCAATATCCTGTGACATTCTGGCAAGGTTGAATGAAACTGAACAAAAACTCTTTGAGAATCAAAATCACTGTATAAAGCCATTGCCTGCAGCATTTGACCAAGTGGATGCTGAGATTTTAATCAATGAGAAAGATTCCATCAATGATTCAACAAAAATTAACTGTTGCAATACCTCCTCAAAAATATTATTGTCTTCAAAGGATACCCAGGTAACTTGTTCTATCAGCTTTTACAAGTTTTCTAACTTTTGAATCATTTATTTAGAGTGTTTGGAGCTTGAAGGGATTTATTTGATCCTTGATTTCAGAACTCTAAGGAAAAAGAGGAGGCATGTTCTACAAAAAGAACTATTCAGCCACCCTCGCCAACTACTCTACAGTGGGGTAGGGCTATAGCTGAAGTAAAGGAACATGCTGTAACAAAATTACAAGATGAACTTAAGAGGGCTCACGAGGAGTTAAAACTAAAGGACGAAGAAGTTACAAGACTTTCAAGAATCAAGCAGGATGTTGAAGCAGAGTTGGAGGAACTCACTGCCAGCCTCTTTCAAGTAAATCTCATAAATTCCACCAACATTATTTCTCTTTTAAAGGGGATACAGAACAACTTATTAAATTTTTGTCGATAGGAAGCACACAATATGGTACGAGAAGCAAATGTACGTCAAGCCACGGCGGAACGTCTTTTGGAGGAAAGTCGTATGAAAGCTGAAGTTTTAGCTGCCGAAGTGGCCGCTCTAAAGACACTAGTATTAACTTCAACGCCTGCTAAACCGAACTTCCATTTACATCCGCAAATCGATACGAAAAGTCGTCCAAACAGCGAAGATGGTCAGCAAAGTCTTTTTGCAAGAAAACATAGAAGGTAAAATTATTTCAAACTTTACGAGTACGATATGCGGTGTATGCTCGTGCATAGAAACGATACAATCGATATTCTAGTTAAATCTTGAACGTTTCTGTTTCTAGGTCACCGTCGCATTTCAATCTAAAATACGGTCGAGAGAACTCTCCACCGGATTCTCCGCTAAAGGAACAAAGGGCATCTTTACCGTCGGATCGAGAGACTCTAGAAAGAGATTGGAAAAAAGATTCAGACAAAGAAAAGGACAAAGACTGCAAAGATTTCGGCCTTGAAGTTGATCCTAGAGTGCACACAGAATTTCTTAAGTGGAAAGCCAATCCATGTGTTGACAAAGGTGACCCTTTTGTTGGTAGAATTTTTAAAGAAGACATCGATCTCTGCCTTGATTTCCCTAATAAAGAATTGGGTACAAAAGTTAGGCAAGCTGTTCTCGATGGTATCATCTTTATAGAAGCGATCAGTGACAAGACAAAATTCACATTTCCGAAGCAAGTAGTATATTCCAATATCGAAACTGTACATCGAATATTGTATTACCGTATTGTAATATGTAGTGTTGTTTTTTTTTTTTTTTTTAGAAAATGTGTACTACTTGAAGCACCGCGTCAATGTTATTATCGAATGAGATTCGGGGATCAAGAAAATCAGTGGTACAGCATATCACAAATTTGTCGTAATCGAGTAAGTTTCAAAATTCCATAGATTGCATAGAATAATAGAGCACTAGGTACAAAATTAATACATTTTTGTAGATCATAGCAGTCTGCGATTTCTTGAATTACCTGCGTTATGTTGAACGTGGCCTTGTCAAAAGCTCAGGTAAATCTCGCATTTATATTTATTTAGAATCCCGAAAATGATGTATCAAAATAAAAAAAAAATCATGATTTTTGTTATAGTTCACGATGTTTATTGGGAAATTACACGGTTGCGAAAGGAAATGGCGTTTGCTCGTTTGGGCCTCGCATTGTCGTCTTAACGCATTTCGCGGACGACTTGTTCTAATCTTAAATCGAAAAAGACTAGGCCATGGATCTGTTATTATTCATTTACATCTATCAACCGTAGAGATCGTTGAAAATTTTAATCGTTCCAACTAGCCTCGATCTTTTTTTCTACTCACTGATCGAGATTTTATAGAGTAAGTGCTAAAGTTTTAATATATAAAAGCTCTCAAATTCTTCTATTATAGCGTAAAACGCGCTCAACTTATTTAAAAAAGGTTTATACCAGTCGGTTTAAAGATCTTAGTTGAGATTATAATTTCAAAAATATTTAATGCTATCTTTGTTCTCGAACGGAAAACGATAAAGACTTCGTTAACGATCTGACCTTAATTATATAGCATATTATTTTATTAACAGGCACAAATACATTTTAATCAGTTTTAAAGTGCAATGAAATATATTTGTAAGATATTGGGGAACACGGTGCCTTTTAACTTTTCGCTCATTGATAAAACGCGGCTAGATTTTAGTTTAAGCTTTATAGTTAACGGCAGTTTAATCGAATTATACAAAAAGGTTATTCTATTCGTTTTATAATTTATTCATAGTTATATTTTTTATCCCTTATAAATTTTACAATGGTAACAAGCAATACAAATTGTTGTACGCACTAATGTGAAAAGGAAGTGTTATAGTCTGAAAGACTGTAGGAATAAGTATCTTCTGAAGTTGAAAATTAATTTGGACCATGGTACATGATAAAAATACGTATTATATTTACACATTGACGTTTGTTAGTCAATGTGTAACAGCTATATCGGGTGACAGATGAATCATTTTTACAGTTTCCTTTTTGTGCTAACTAGTATCTATGGTAATTGTTTTTTGTGCACATTCATTGACTTCAGTTTTTAAAAGGCGATTGCTCAGTGCTAATTGTTATAGGCTATAGTAGATTAAAAACGAATCTCCATTTTATGTTGTATAGTCTTTCGATTGACAGTTCTTATTTACAACATTTCGAATACAGTTCGTTCCTTTTTGTACAATATTAATTTATTTATTCTTATTGATTTAAATACGTATACATACCTTTGGACATTAAAAAATCGGACTATAATTTTCTCAAACAAATCTTGTTATAAAATCACGTATATCTAATTGAAAGAAAAAAAAATTTGAAAAATAAAAGTCAATCTTAATAAATTGTTACAAGACGTGTCATTCAACATATTGAAATAATGAGATTATTTCGATATTGTTTTCTTAAAATATACAAGTATCTTAAACCTTGGCAAAATATTTCAAGAATGCCATACATAAAACGTTTATTAAAAATCAAAAGCATGAACATCTATGAATATGTAATGGTTCTACTTTATAAGTTTTCACAGCATAAAATAATTTTAACGTTATAATCATAATTTAAGAATACATGATATTATGTTAAATGCAATGATCATAAAATATGTATTAGCATTTTCATATTTAATGTAATTTATACTTTCGCGCGATATGAATAATGAAACTTGAGTTTTGTCCAAAGGTACAGAGTTCTTCCAAGATCTAAGAAATACGTTATCTTCCATTGCAAACATTAACTAGTACCTGGTAATTAGCGTGCATATAAGAGATGTATACTGTTAAGGGTTTCATAAAACACTATACAATACGTGTCATATAATTACTATATGACTAAGGTGATAAGAAATATTTCGAATTATTGACATTTAATGTGTGCTATAGCTAAAAGCATATTTGTCAATCTACCTAAATTGCGTCCTAATTGAAAGAAAATGACAATTTTTTGTTATATTGCTTTTTTTTATATATTATTTCATTTGGGACTTGAAACAAGAACAATACAGCCAATGTGTTACATACAATCAAATTATTGTTATTGTTATATATATGAAATTGTTTCAATTTTCAACAATAATGAAACTTTTGATACTATACTTCCATTGTATTATATAAATTTTTTAATTCGAGTTTTAGATACCATTGAAATAGTATATTTACGCTTTTTATTCTTCCGTTAAATATTGATTAGATTGAACTGTAGAATTGTTTTTATGCATATTTACTTATAAAGAATTAATTATTAAGAATATGTTTCCTGCATATTAAAGGTGCTTTATAATAATTATTAAGAAGATAACTGTATAAAATACTTCCAAATATAAAACTCTTAGACTAATTTTAGAAAATACTTGGTCTGTTAGTAAGTTTTGTACAATCAGATTAAAAAAAAAAAAATATGTTCGTATTATATTTGTGTAATACGCACATATTTTAATATGAAATAATTTTCTGAAAAGTTCGTATGTCTCGAAAACAAGAGATTACTAAATCAAACTAAATTTTATTTTTCCCACGTAAATGCAACGCGATGTACGCAGACGGCGCAGTGCGGTACATATTTTAAAAATTTAAGTAAGATTTAAGAAAACAAAAATAGATCTATTTGGGTTATTTTTGTAACCAATGTATAGTAGTCTAAAATATGTGTTCCGATATTATCAAACAACGTTTGTGCTCTGTACTCATACAATAATATTACTAAAAATAATTGCAATAGAATTGTATCAAATGCATTCGTTGAACATTAATTACTGAGATAATAGGAAGTAAAAAATGTAATAATGTCCGTCGTGTTAAACAGTCAATTAGAAATATTCTCAGTATAGTATTCGTTCAAACTGTTCAAAGTTGCCAAAGATCGCTTCCGAACGACATTTATCGAAACACATTTACTTCTGTTGCTAGTTGTAATTTTGTAGACAGGTTCGCAGAAGCTCATTTAGATGTAGAGCATCTAAAAATAATTCACGCATAATTTGAAACATTCGTATATGTATTAGTATGATACCCAACTGTACGTTTTTTTAATTATTAATACGCTCTGTGCATTGTAATCGTAAATATTTTTTGACATTTAATTATTAATCAAATAAAGTTTGTTTTAAAACTGTCGAAATAAAATTACGTTATTTATCTTTACACATGTAGTATAAATAATATTTCTCAGTTGCGAGTAAATCTAATATTAACCAGGTAACGTACAATTAGGAGGCAGTTTGAATTTCTGCCGATCAGATGCACCACATCTGCATAATACTTTTGTAAACGCTCGTTGGATGGCGTCGAATGTCAAGTTCCCGCGTTAATTTTCGAGTTACCTGTTTGTTGTGTTATCCCCTCAACGACCTATAATTTTTTCATTAAATCCTCTATAAAAGATTGATAAGATTTCTACTCATTCGCGTAGCGTCAGTTGTACAGTTTGGACGTCAGTCGATTCACAATAATAGTGCAACATGATAAAAACTGCAATATTCTCTGTACTCTTAGCTATTGGTATATTCATATACTTCAGGTAAACTTTTTAATCTATATTAACAGTAAATTGAAAACTGACAATGTAAAAACACGTTGTCAATTGACTAGAACACGCGTAAACAAAAATTATTGTTCAATTACTCTATTACTTAACACGCTATTAGCATCATAAGCCTACGCCGCACAGACTTTTATCGAGAACCCGACATCACACATAGAAGAATAAAGGGTTTTCTCCTAACAAATGTATTTTCAGTAAAAGAACATTTCTTGCGTTACTTTTTCATGAATTTTTGACAATCGTTTAACGAATTTTTATAGAGACCTTTCGTGGTGTGAATCTTCATAAATTTTAATTGTATTCGACCTCATTTACAAGTAGTATTTTTCCAGAAATTTATTTCAAGGAGTAAGTCTCAAAATTCTGTAGCTTTCAAAGTTTCCGATATTTTTAATCACATAATTGTCACTTCTTTTTCAAAACGTTATATTGATTATTGTTTAAATATTGTATACTATTTCCTAGATAAAATTCTGACTATCAATAGATTACTGGTACGGTTATCACGAGAGGTTAATGAAAACTATACAAATTGTAAGTTTTACGAGGCACTGAAGAAAAGAAATAGCGGCGTAGATGATCTTTGTGCCTTGTAGGTTGTGAAAAAATTTGGTATTAATGCGAAAAACTATCATATTCAACACTATCTTCTCATCTACTGTTATAATTATAGAAATAAAACAAAATAGGCACAATAGGCACTTGAATTGTATTACAATGTTTTTTTTTACGCGCTACATCTGCACCGTTTGACTGCCAGAGGAAGAAGAACGGTCGAACGTGCATGTAATAATCACATACGCGTTGCATGTCATTTAACATTATTATTCGTATACGGAAAAAAGTTCAAGGCAACTATACGATAAAAAGATTGTACTAAACTATGGTCCATTCCATCGGTTCAACTACCTATTAATAGAAACTTAACTTTTTAACCAAGTTTTTGTTGGATAAATGTTCAACTGTGCGACAGGTGTCTCTCGCGCACAAGGAAAAAGATTATGGATGGAAATAACTATCTCTCTTTTTATCGTAATCGAAAAGCATCGATTGTTATCGAACCATGAGAAAAAAAAAATATATTTAATTTACGATTGCAGTATTTGCTTCTACCAACTACATAATATGTGCAATACCGACCTCCATCTCTCATACGCGGGCTTACATACATATACATACATACATATGCAATTGTTTGATGAAAAGCTTTATAAGTTTAGAATTTCTATACAAGAAATCTTAAATGTTTCAAAAGAATTGTTAGAAATATCCTAAAATATTTAAAAATTTCTTACTCTAATAAAATGATTACAAATTAATACCATAAGTTTGCATCCTGCAATTGCACGCATGAAAAATAGTATATATGTATTGTACATCTCGTGTAATCGCTAAGAGACTTTGATCGCTAAAAGATAATTAAAACAAAAAATTATTCTCAAGGGCAAATTTGATCGTTCATTTTACCGATATTTTATTCAAAGCTCATCCAACACTTTCTATTTGCTGCGATAGAAACATGCCGCGACAAATTTGGTTAAATTAAATCCCTTGTGTTACTTACTCTTTAATACACTTATCAAACAATTTCCGTACGGTTCCAATAATTGCCCTCGATTACTTGTATCCTTGTATATTATTTCCTCAATTCTTGTACACTATTCACTAAATAATTCATTACTTCGGTTGCACCTGAATATTAAGGCGTAATAAATATTGAACTTTTAAATTCAAGTTCAGACACGATTTGAATTTAAAGTTTTTTCTCGCGCGAACATTCATTTAAATTATAAATACATACATGATACTTTATTTAGCTACCCAAATGTCTTACCCGCCCCGAATTTACCGGAACCAAACTGGGGACTAAAAAATATAAACAAATCTACAGAAATACGACCTTTCAAAATCGATATACCAGCATCGGTGAGTAATAAAATAAACGATATTTATTCCTTTCAGTATCATTTGTGTCAGATTTCTAAAGTTCTTTAACTTTTTGCAAAGGTTATAGAGGACTTGAGATATCGTCTTGCACACAGAAGACCGTTTACAAACCCACTGGAAGGTACGGCATGGACGTATGGAATCTCTACCAAGTACCTCGATACAGTATTTGATTACTGGATAAGTAAATATAACTGGACAGAAAGACAAGCATTATTGAATAAATATCCCCAGTTTAAAACAAACATTCAAGGTAACAATAGCAAACATTAATGAGCACTAGTGTTTCTATTGTAAATAACCAGGCATAATCATATTGCTTATCAATATTTCAGGCCTAGATATTCATTTTTATCATGTTAAACCGGCAAATCTTCCAAAAGACAAACACGTGAAAGTTCTACCTCTATTGATACTGCATGGATGGCCTGGATCAATTGTTGAATTTCAGAAAATAATACCCATGTTGACAAAACCTTCTGCCAATCGCGATTTTGTATTTGAACTGATTATACCATCGCTACCTGGGTATGGGTTCTCTGAAGGTGCTGTTCGGCCAGGAATGGGAAGTGCACAGGTATTACAATATAATACATAGGGTGACCTAACTAAATAATACAAAAACCGTTTGTTATATAAAAATTATTTTGAATAAAATTTGCAGGTTATAAAGTAAAGCATACACTGGTATGATTAATTTTGTTTTATATCGTTCTTGAAAAAACTTACTTTGCATTTTTTAATCGTAATGCATAAAATTTCACAGTGCTACTTTTTTATTTAGATTGCAGTTATCTTTAAAAACCTGATGCTGAGACTTGGTTTTGAAAAGTTTTACGTCCAAGGAGGAGATTGGGGATCCATTATTGTCTCCAACATGGCTATCCTATATCCAAAAATGTTGGTAAAACTTTTTATAAAATTTACTAAAAATATGAATTGTGATTCATTTAATTTGTAGGGTGATTGGTGTACATATAACTATGTGTGCTTCCCTTAAACCAGAGACTTTATTTTGGTTTACTATCGGTTCTTATTTCCCATCACTAGTGCTCAATAATGAAGATTATTCGAAATTCTATCCTGTTGGTAAAATTTTACGAAATCTAATCGTTGGAAGCGGATATTTACATATACAAGCCACAAAACCGGACACAATAGGTACAACTTTTTATTAAAAATTACTAGAGTAGAATAGGACACATTACACAAAAATATGTAAAATTGTATGTACCAGGAACTGCTCTATCGAGTTCGCCAGATGGTCTGGCAGCATACATTTTAGAAAAGTTTAGCCTAGGGACAAATAAAGCGTATATAGAACGAGAAGACGGCGGACTATTGGAAAAATTTACATTGGACGAACTACTAGATAACGTAATGGTATATTGGGTAACCAATAGTATTACCACAAGTGTTCGTCTTTATGCTGAGAATTTCAATATGGCATACAGAGCTTTAAAAGTTGAAGCGTACGTTTATAGTTATAGATTAAATATTATGGATATATTAGACAATAACAGGAAATATTTTAAATATATTGTCTTTTGTTTCAGATTGCCTATAGAAATCCCAACAGCTTGTGCAGTTTTTCCTCATGAAATATTAATTCAACCCAAATCACTACTTCTTAGTAAATATCCTTATCTAATTCAGTATAACTACCTTTCACGTGGGGGACATTTCTCAGCTATGGAAGAACCTCAACTTTTGTCAGACGATGTGTTCAGTTTTGTGAGAAAGGCAGAAATAATTAATAATGCAAAGTGTAATTTATAATGTAATATAATACTTAGGTTTTAGTATGAAGTTACAAAATTGTCGATATAAATTGTAACGTTTCATATTGAATGCGAATGAAAATCTAAAGTATTTTTATTTTTATTATTTTAACACCATAATAAAATGAACGCTGTGATTACTAAATGTTTTAACATTCTCCAGGATGGTGCTTAAATTAGACTTAAACAGTTTGCTTTTGTTTGGGATTTCCAAAAACTAAAAATAATTTTTTGAAGCATAATCTGTTTAGACTCTGCTACTAACAATGAATTTCATTCTAAAACATGATTCAAAACTTGATCTGCAATTACAAATAGAGGATAGGTATGGAAAATTAGAGGTGAGAGATGTAATCATATGTTTTTTTCCGCGTTTGTCATGCAGATATCTCAGAATATGACGTGACCATAATTTAAAGTCAAAGTCAGACGACTTCGTCAGTCTTCTTTTTTCCTTTCGACTCAAAGAGGAAAACAAGAACGTACGGACGTTTATAATTTATGATGTATCTAATTTTTGTACTTTGGATTTATCCACATTGGAAAATATAAACATTGTTTTTATCTGCGTTTCCCAGAACGTAAACACCCAAAATGAATAATAAACGAAATAGAAACGAGTTCGATTATTAATGAATTGAATATGCATCGCGAATGAGTCGTCTATAGTGAAGCGTCAATGACAACTCTGAACACGAATACTGCGCAAGGCCAGTATCGCGATTCGATTTCAGTATTAATCTAGTTCGCTCTGTGACTAATTATGTTAAAAATTCCGCGATTCAGCTTTTCAATGTCTTTTTCGTTGGAAAGATGAGTACATGACGAAATGTTTAGAAATACGTATTTTACAGTTTCTAGTACCTTACGACATTCTCCGGCAAGGGTAAAACTTATTAATTGAACGTCAATACATACTACATACTTTGAATGGTGTGATCACTCCAGCTGAAATCTTTTACATTCACTATAAATTCATTGCGGATGAATAATCCGGAACGTACAACCATAGTACAAAGTCTAAATTCGGTTTTAGACACTTGTCTAACTCCGGTCTCGATAAACACGTTTTCCCGCGATCGGCGAACACGCTTAGATTGCGTATATTGGTTCGACAGTTTAAACGCTGGAGGCGCTAGCAGCTTATGGCTAGAAAACCCCTGGCTGGCCTGGCTCCAGTTCAGTAATGCCTATCAGTGATCACACCACTGCATCCCAATCATTCTCGGTAAAATTTTGATAAGATTTATAACCAGTCGCGTATAAGCGTTGATTGCACTGGCTGTACAGTTCAGACGATAGTCCATTCACAATTAATGTAACATGTTGAAAACCGCAGCGTTACTTCTACTTTTGGCTAGTGGAATATCCATCTACTGGAGGTGAGCTTTTCAATGTTCTAATTACGGGTAAATCGAAAATAGACAAACGACAATTATTTCTAAATTGTTCAATAACTTACTCGTCTGTAGAGAAACGTTTCTCGTCAATGTTTGATGATTATTTAACAAACTTGTATACTTTTTTTTTGCTGCCCAAATATTCACCAGTTTCAATTGTACGTTACTTTGTTTATGAGTAGTATTTTTGTTTAGAAATGTACCGACAATATAAATATTTATAATAAACGATAATGTTTTTATTACGACGAGAATCTATCCGTTTGGAAAAGATATATGCTACTATTGCTATACGCACAAATTCGAAATAAAGGAAACCATTATTATCTTCTGTATCATATCAAACCCTATGAGAAACTGCAAATAAATTCAACTATGCAAATTCACTTTAGAAGGATACCATCGCGATAGAAACACACGATTATTAATGAGACAAGCGTATCAACCTGTTGACTAGAGTATTAATTATCCTTGCAATATGTAATACGAAGATTCATTATGTAATCAAGGATTCAAGTACACTGAGTCTTAAAGAGCCTATTCTAGGAAGGAATAATACATACAACGTATGCCCGTGAAGATGCATATTTAAAGTTATAAAATTTATAAATATTATTTGTTAGCAATTTACGTTAACGTGATTGATGTAACGATATGAATATCATAATTAAAAAAAACTCGCGTTTTAACGTAGCCGCCAACAATAACATAAAACACGTAAATCTAGCGTTAAACAGAGATAATGAATTTGGAGAAAATTAATAACGGTTATGTATGGTTGACCGAAGTCACATTGAACTTCATGAAACATAAATAGTACGATGGGCTGAAACACTTGTCAGTTTACGATCAAAGTCGTCGTTGCCGAATAATACCGAAATAAGATAGAAAACATATTCTCGTTTCTCCGATTGCCTTCCGTCCTCGTAATTGTATCCTTTGCGTATACGCTTCGTTTAATTTACGACCTCCATATTTTTACTGAGAGTTCGCGATACCGGTCTCCGTATTTCGTATAGATTTACAATGCGGCTACTGGTTTCATACTTTTCTATGTTCATATAAATATAATAACAAAGATTGTGTATTTTATTAACATAACTTTTAGATGTAACAACTTCTCGTTTACTTATAAATCTGTATATGTAGATTGGCTAGCAACTCGACAATTTTCTCAACTGGAATGGTCAACTCAAAACCCTGACCTAAATTCAATATAAAAAAAGAAAATAAAGTACTATATTTTGTGTAAAATACTCTATTCTAAACCTTAGCCCTTTGTATCTGATTATTTAACGTAGATTAGAGTAGTATTAACAATTCGAAACATCGCGATGCGTGCTTGCACTTTTACTCGTCGTTGTGGGTTTGCTGTTGTAAGCAGAAGATTCAAATCCGTTGTTAGAAAGTTTTTAAATTACTGTTTCATCGTTTGTATTGCGAGAAGACATTATGTAACCGTTACAAGACTTTGACCGTTAACGACAAAGCAATAATCAACATCCTGATTAATTCAAAATTATTTTTGGCTTGTTTTATCTAATTTTTAGTCGTCGTTTATGGAAAACTTTCTTATTCCCCGTGATAAAAGCATATCGTGATAAATTCGATAGCATAAGGTCACGATTGATATTCTTGATTTTTTTAACATCGCGTTTTAATAATAATCCACGATTACTTATTGAATTCAATTAAAAAAATAATTCATTGATTTAATTTCACTCGAATGTTCAGATCTAATAAACTTTGAATTTTTAAATTGAAAATGAGACACGATCTACAAACACTTGACATTTTTTTATACGCAAGGCTACTTAAATTACAAACCATCCGGGTCATAGCCGATAATTCACTAACATTTTGTTTAGTACTCCAAGCGAGTTGACAATACCTAATTTACCGGAAACAAACTGGGGATTGAGGAAGAGTGGAAAACAGTCTACAGAAATACGACCTTTCAAAATCGATGTACCGACATCGGTGAGTAATAAAATAAACGATATTTATTCGTTTCAGCATCGACGAATAATTCATATATTGTCTATTTTTAAAATTGAATTTTTTATGAAGGTTGTCGACGATTTGAAATATCGTCTTGCAAAGAGAAGACAGTATGTAAATCCATTGGAAGATGCAGCGTGGACTTATGGTATTTCCACCAAGTACCTTGATACAGTACTTGATTACTGGAAAGATAAATATAATTGGGCAGAAAGACAAGCATTATTGAATAAATATCCCCAGTTTAAAACAAACATTCAAGGTAACAATAGTGGACATTAAAGAGCACCAGTGTTTCAATTGTAAACAACCAAGTATAATCGTATTGTTTATCAATATTTCAGGCCTGGATATTCATTTTTATCACGTTAAACCGACAAATCTTCCAAAAGACAAAAACATTAAAGTTCTACCTTTATTGATGCTGCATGGGTGGCCTGGGTCAATTGTTGAATTTCAGAAAATAATACCCATGTTGACAAAACCTTCTGCCAATCACGATTTTGTATTTGAACTGATTGCACCGTCGCTTCCTGGATATGGGTTCTCTGAAGGAGCTGTTCGGCCAGGGATGGGATCTGCACAGGTATTACAATATAATATACCGGGTGATCTAACTAAATAATTCGAAAACCGCTTGTTACAGTATAAAAATTATTTTAAAGAAAAGTTGTAGGGTATACATAGAGTGCAGCATACACTGGTATGATTAATTTTGTTCTACATTGCTCTTGAAAATACTTACTTTGCATCTTTTAATCATAACGTATAAAATTTCACCGTGCTACTATTTTTTTATTTAGATTGCAGTTATCTTTAAAAACCTGATGCAGAGACTTGGATTCGAAAAGTTTTACGTACAAGGGGGAGATTGGGGAGCCCTTATTGCCTCTAACATGGCCGCCCTTCATCCAGAAAAGTCAGTAAAACATTTTGGAGAATGCAATAAGAGTGAAAATTGTGATTCACATAATTTTTAGGGTGATTGGTTTACATTCCAACATGTGTTCTTCACTTCCGCCAAGCAACTGGTTTATGTATCTAGTCGGTTCCTATTTCCCGTCGCTAGTAATCGAAAATGAACACTACTCAAAATTCTATCCTATCAGTGACATTTTACGAAGGCTAGTCGAGGAAAGTGGATATTTTCATATACAAGCCACTAAACCAGACACATTAGGTACGACTTTTTATTAAAAATTACTAGAATAAGATAGGATATGTTACACAAAAATATGTAAAATTTTATGTACCAGGTGCTGCTGTATCTAGTTCGCCGGATGGTCTGGCAGCATACATTTTAGAAAAGTTCAGCACTTGGACAAATGTAGCATACAAAGATCGAGACGATGGCGGATTATTGGACAAATTTACGTTGGACGAACTTCTAGATAACGTAATGGTATATTGGGTAACCAATAGTATTACCACAAGTGTTCGTCTTTATGCTGAGAATTTCAGTGCAGCATACAGAGCTTTAAAAGTTGAAGAGTACGTTTATAGTTACATAGTAAATATTATAGACATATTACACGATAAAAGGAAATATTTTAAATATATTTTCCTCTGTTTTAGATTACCTATTCACGTACCTTCTGCTTGTGCAAACTTCCCTCATGAACTAATAACTCAGCCCAAATTTGTTCTTAAATCTAGATATCCTAATATGATTCAGTATAATTACATAGCACGCGGAGGACACTTCGCAGCTTTCGAGGAGCCTCGACTTTTATCCGACGATGTGTTCAGTTTTGTGAAAAAGACGGAAGAAATGATACAAGCGGAACAGCCGAATAAATAATTATGATTTAGAGAAGTTTTAGCATTAGGTTGCAAAACTGTTGATATATTTTTTTAAAACGCTTTAATAAATTGTAATATGTTTCATATTAAATACGAACAAAACTCTACATTGCTCATAATTGTTATCATATACAATATAACATATTCTTCCTTATTTCTGTATATTCATACCCCAAACCTAATAAATTTTCTCTTGTTTCGTCATTGTTTTGTTTGTGTACACATTATTTTCAGTTATTTACAAAATCTCTTTTATTTTTTATTGATAACACCATAATTGATCAAACGTTGCCAGAACCAGATTTTTCAACATTCTCTAATAAAGTTTGCAAATTAGATTCAAACAACTCGCATCTGATTGGCATTTCCAACGAATAAAAAGGATTTTTTAAAGCATAATCTGCATATAATTCGTATACCCTTTTCAATAAAATTTCTATTCCACTTTGCGTAGGCTCTGCTACAACAATGAATTTAATTCCAGTTAATGTTTGGTAACAATGTAGTCGGAATGTATCAGCCTCCAAAATTTCAATTCCAGAACATCGTGGTTCTGGGCTCAACTGACTGGCAATCGCAAACAGAGGATAAAACATGGATGCCAAGAATATTTTTTCGTTTGTTGTCATCCTGGCACGACTAAATTTAAGAATCAGAGGAAAATTTTCTGGTTGCTCAAGCATTTCAAATACATCTTTTCCATTTTCTAGTTCCCTTCCTACTATTGGACTGCCGTTTACTGCCGATAAAACATGACCCACTACAATAAATTGATTATTACTTTTGTACTGTTCTTATTCATTTAATTTTATTAAAATAATATATTAGTACAATATGTTAATCTAGTTTAAAAGAATATATCTTTCTTACCGTTGATTCCGTCCTTCTGGCCAAACGAAACAACAATCTTCTTGTTTTCGTAACTTAGTTTGATATCCAGAGGATAATTGAATGTCTTTTCATTTTCAATTCGAGGAACATTATGATCGTGATTAAAAATCAATCCGCCCGATTTCGACACGATATATACACCGTACACAACCATTTTTAAATTATGTAACAATATAAATTAACAATACAATCACTGCATTATTGTTTACTTTTCCATCGTCAGTTTTATTGTAATGTATTTTACAAGTAACTGTTCATTTATAAACAAAACCGTCAAGATTAACTTCCCTTGAGGTTATGTTGCGATTTAGGTTTGCGGCAAACCATTCGCCTGACAAAACTCTGATAGTGACACCAGTTTAACAACGGGAATATTATATATGATTCAAACCCATTTCGCGTTTTATAATCTTCGCGTCGAAAATTTTATGCACAATATGGAAGAAAATTCAGATTGGTCTCACAACATTTACAAAAATTATCCTTTGTTGTTTAAGAGTTACCTTGGTATGGAAGTGGACATTTTAACTGTGGATGGTACTACAGCTTCTGGCGTTGTTTATACTGTTGATCCTGTATCAGAGAGGTTAGAAAATCTTCGTTATGCGAACACGGATTCACATTCTTACGTATTTGTTTGTCTATCGATTACTGTTTTTGCAGCGTTGTGTTGCTACGGACCTGTCAACAGAATTATTTAAAAATCGTCTTCGGTCATGCGATAAAAAACATAAAAATCCGTTCGGATAAGCCGCACGATTTACCGGAATTATTTATGAACGCACCGACTAATCTTCTCCAATCGTCGTTAGAAGAACGTAAAAATGCAGTCATAAAGATGCTTCAAGAAAATAGACTTTCCGTAAAAGAAGACGAAGATATATTAACGATTGAAAATGTATTGTCTATAAAACCGCCATACGAACCGAACGATTGCGTTTGTACAAACAGCATCATTTTAGGAAGAATTCAGAATCTTTTAGCTCGTGTATAAATTTAATATTTTCCAGAAAATAAATTATGTAAGTAAACGAGCAAATATTTTCAAAAATTATCATTCCGTTAAAAATAAAACTACAAAATGACGTAATTATTTTGTTATTAAAGATCTTCGCTTCGTTTAATAATAAGGATACAAATGAATCGTAAAATACTTCCGTTTAAGAAAATTTGCGATCTATATTCTCTTTTTTATCATAAAATATTCTTTATTTCGCAAGTATTATGTCGCCTAAAATAAAGTTCCGCTTGATTATAAATCAATTGCAGATAAAAATTCATTTCATTTACAGTTAAATTCAATTTTAATATAATAAAATAGTAATCTAAGTTTGATTGTAACTTGAAGATATTGAACTCATCGCACCATAATCGATTAGAATAATAAAAAAAACTTGTCGCAATTTTCTCGAATTAAAATTCACATACCGTTTTTCTTTAAGAATCGATAATATCATTTGATAGTATAGTTTTAAATAAAAAATAATATTTAAAAAAAACTTATACGGACATTTGAAAAATTGTTTAATGTAAAAAGCCACATGTGTGTGTGTGTGCGTGTATGTAATCAATTCCAAACTGAAGTATAATTATTTTTATATAGAAGTAAATATATAATTATAGTTACATTTAATTTAATAAACGAAAAAAGAAACTATATGAAATTTCTTCAAACGTACTATTTGGGATGAATAATTTTTTCCATACAAACAATACTTAACTGTAAACAAAAATATAAGACGCACAGAATGTACATAACACTTGTTTAAAATTATTTTTTAAAAACAAAAAAGTTACGTTGTAATTGCGATTTCTTGTATAAATCTCTATGACTTTAAAAACAGGAAAAACGTTCACTATTTTCATTTCAGACTTGAATCTTTTGCTGTGGCAATAAGGTCTGAAAGTCAATGTTATTGTTAAGAGGTGAATGTTGAAAAAAATACCTCAACTTCTCTCTTAGCATTGACTTTCGTTGTATCTATCCATTGTGCGCAGTGAATATTTTCTGTTAAACAATTTATTACTCCCTTTTTTAACCGTTCACCGTACTCGTGAAGTTCCTTGACACATGTTATCGAAGATTACTAGCTATATACAGAATTTTGAAAGCTTCGGAACGCTGCACACGACGCGCTACTGCCTAGGATATTTGCCACAGCAAAAGGATTAAAAAGCTCGATAACGAAATAAATGCAATTGCGGCAGTGCGTCGGTGCAGCAGAATATGTTTAAGAGCTTCGGGTATCCGCAGGAAAATCTTGGTTCGACTATTTTCCTTTGCTGAAAAAAAATATCGAACCTCTACCTTTCCTTTCTACCGATATGAAAAGAAAACTATATGTGTGATTTACTCGTTCGAACTACCTTGTAATCTAAGATCTGTTGGCATGTCACAGCCACCGATATGTGCATATGCCGCAAAACACGGGACAACAGCTCAACTCTGACACACTCCTGGCTTCTCCATTATTACCTAGTATAATTCGTTGTGCATTGTTCAAGAGATATTCGAACACTATTCGGTTCATGTTAAACTTGCAGTATCATTGTACATATTGAAGAAGAAGAAGAAGAAGAAGAAGAAGAAGAAAAAGCAGTTTCATCTACGCGATTACTAATTTCTTGATTCAATATTGAATAACAACGAAGAAACTAGCGTCGACGATACTTATCGATATCTTAATAATTTCTGATGTACTATGATTAAGAAGTATAACGCCCGCGGATGGATCGATGGAAAAGCATAAAAAAAGAATGCGTGTAGAGTTCTTCCAAGGCAGTGTCTCTCCACAGAAGTATAAAGGTGCTTCTTTGGAGTAAAGTGAACGTCCTAAAGAGTTCACTTTCTAAGTAGTTGGTCATTCGGTCTCTCCGTCGGAATAATATTCTATAGGCGCTGAATCGCGAACTTTACGAGAATATCTTAAACCCAGATAATCTGCAAGACTTTCGATATGTGACAGAACCTAGAAATAGACAAAATTAAAATTACGATATCGAAAATGAGCCGTATTTTTTTCTAATGAAAGAATCTTCTTTTTCCATCTTTGCAACCGTTTAGAGTAGCGATAAGCAATTCGCAGCCCTTCAACTCCTTACCTGCGACTCACTAATACGTTTAAACGTTATCACTTCATGTGCCCTAAAGCTAATCTTGGCGAAAGATACATTCGATACGAGTTGCCTCGAAATTTCATGGAGTATTCTATTGTGCTACGCAGTTTTTCTAACCGGGACTTGGGGAAAAATGCTTTGAAACAATTTATTTTCCATAGTAGTTTATCAGAAGTGCATTGTACTCGTCTTGAAATGCTCTATCAGAAAATATTCCATTTAAAAAAAAAAGAAAGAAAAAAAAAGAAAAAAAAACAGGTTCCACCTTTAGACTTTCAAATTTGATGTACTGCAGGACAAAGGTTGCTCATCACTGGTTTAGAAAAAAAGCAGTTTACTTACATAATCCAGCTGCTGTTTGGTATGCGCAGCAGAAAGACAAAACCGTATTCTACCTTCCATCAACGGAGTTGCTGGAAATCCAACACCGACTGCAGCTATGTTATGTGTTGTCAGAGTTCGCACGACTGCACTGTTAATTAATATAATTTTTTTTAAATTCGACATTTACAATCCTGTGTTATTTCTAATTCTTTCTTCTTACCCAATTTTAGAAAACAAGTAGACTAACATAGGTACAACAGGCGAATCTTCGTTTCCATAAATAATAACTCCAATCTGGTTAAGTCTGCGCCTAAAGTACCTAGTATTTCTTGCTAGCTGTTTCGTTCTTTTCCTTCCGTCATCTGTACCATCTTCACCGGCGATTATTTTCATCGAAGTGATAATTTGTTGTGCTATTGGTGGTGACATGGCCACTGCATACGTATGAGCGTGGCCGTATATCCTTAAATGATTTATTAGAGTCTAGAATTATAATAATATCATTATTATTATTATTATCCAAGTAGCCAGTAAATTGTAAATATGTTCTCCTTACCTTTGTTCCAGCAATATATCCACCAGCAGATCCGAAACTTTTTGTAAAAGTTCCCATTAGTATGTCCACATCTTTTGGATTAATTCCATAATAATCGCAAACGCCTCTGCCGTGTTTACCCATTGCACCAGTGCTGTGAGCTTCATCCAAATAAAGGTATGCCTGTAACATGAAATAAAAATCGATACTAGAACCCAACCTTAGAATACAAAACGAATCTCTTTTAATATAAACAATTGTACTTGCTTTGTACTTCTTCTTGAGCTCCAAAATCTGAGGTAAATTAACAATAGAACCCTCCATAGAATAAACACCTTCTACAACAATTAATATCTTTTTCCAAGGTTTTCCCGATCCTGGCTGCCCAAAAACTACTGCAGTTTTCAGGCAATTTTCTAAATGTTTCATATCTGTGTAAAAGAATAAAAAAAGTTGAAATGAATGAATTGTATTTAAATTTAATTTCATTTAAACTTACTGTTGTGTTTGAACACTCTAATAGTAGCACCAGAAAGCCTCAATCCAAGTATCAATGAAGCATGATTCTTCTCATCGCTAAACACCAAGCAATCTGTACTCAGTAACGAAGGTAAATTAAGAGAATTTGTAGCAAATCCCATTCCAAAGACAATCGCATCTTCCACTTCCAGAAACCTGGCCGTCAATGTTTCCAATTCTTCGTGAATGGGCATATTTCCTTGAAGGAACGAATACGAACCAAGTCACGTAAGATATCATATACATAAAAACCATTTTCGGTTGCGGGAGTAAATTACAATCATTTTTTATCAATACACATACCCCCGAAATCGTACGCACTTTCGAGAAAAAAATTCTGTATTGGAAATATAATGTGTGGTCGGAAACATAATATTATATTCCTCGTTTTTAGAACTTTACACGTTGGTATAGTCCAATGATCCGTTATTGCCTCAGCGGTCCCGACGTATGTCGGGTAATCGGAATTTTAGTATAATAAGGAACAAGTAGTTGGCAAAAAAAGAAAATTAGTTACCAAGTTCGAGACGAGTACTACAACTACCACAGCCAAATTTTTTTAGAGTTTCGATGCTTTGATCCGCACATTTTCCAGTCGCCTCGGCGAAGCCTAGATAGTTGTACGATCCCAAATTTATACAATTTCTGGTCGTTCCGGTGAACCTGCAAAATGAGGAACATAAATTAAAAATTCAGGTATTCTTTACGTCTCGTATTACTGTGTTCATATTATTCAAATTCAGAAATGTTGTATTGTACAATGGTACTTGAGAATCAGCAACAAGGTGGCCATGTAAAAAATACAATGCTCAGTTCAGATTATGTAATTTTATTAAAAACTAACAAGGCTGATATAAAAAAAAAATCAATCGTGCTAATCGACGCCGCTGAATTTTATTTCCAAGTTATAAACTTGTTTTCGCGCTCACTGGTCATCAAATCTCCTTGAGTTCTTCATTACATTTAATCAAGACAAATGTCTGCCTTCCTGCATCTCCAATAGTCTCGTTACGATTTTCGAATCTGTGCGGTTTCAACACCGAACCAAGTTCCGTTCAAATTAAACAAGAATTTTTACAGAATTAGTTGTGCTCGGTTAGAAGAAAGAAAATTACAGATTGTTGTCGATACTTTGTTTCATTTTCGATCAGTGAAAAGTTTAATTACTATTTTTTATTGATGGAATTTGTCATGTATCTATTTTTTATACCCACTTACTGGAATGTCCATCCGTAATCTGGCGTTACTCTGTCCTTAAGCGTAACAGTGGCACCTGGAACAGAGCATATCGGCCTGTTCCAGCAATCTTTCACTCTTCTGTACACGTATCGAAGATAAAACCTTTCAAAATTTTCGTATAACGGCGCGTAACCCTGGAAAAACGATTTTTGCTTTACGACCCAAGTCTGTACAAATTCAGTTGGCTGTTCAAGACCACGAAGCGATTATCTCTTGAGCTTATCACCGTTTTATCTGTTACTCTATCGCGCAAATCTAGAAACAGGGCTTGAAAACTGTTGTAGTGTAGGTTCGATTTCTTAAACCGGTTACCAAGAATTTTCGTTCTGAATAATCGTTACAAAGAACCTGACACTTTTGCCACGCGTTATAGAATTATCAGAGTGCCTCTTTTTTATTTAAATGGTTTTCAATAGAATGAACTTTTATTATCGTTTCGATGTTCACAGACAATTGATTACAAAAAGCATTTGCCTTGTCAAAGTGGATAAGACACTGCCCATAACTGGTAATTTTCTACTCGATCTTAAATTCGTTCGTTTCGTTATTTCAAGAGCGAGCAATAGATACATACATCGTCGACCAGACCACTTAACAACGTGCTATACATATACGGCATATAGCATCGCACTGCATCGTTGCCACAAGTAGTACACTGGGGCATTCAAGTACAGGCGAAACCAAAAATACGTATCACGAAAAAATAGATCGAAAACATAGAATACTATTTTTTCGCACAGGCCTTAGTTTTCAAGAAAATCGACTTTGAAAACACCCAACACACTTACGCGTAGTTCATACATTTACAAAATTGAATTTGTCGAAAATGAAAGCATGTATAAAAAAAAAATAACAATGTATTCTTTAGATGGAACATGTATTTTGGAACATTTTGTATAAACTATTGTTTTATAGGAGCCTGTGATACTTTCTTTCAAAGAGAGTTCAAGTTCGCAGTATGTATATGTATACATTCTATTTGATATTTGTCACATTTCTAAAACAGTATTAGAGTCGCGTATTGGCATGCTATATTTATCTTTCGTATAGAGATTAGATATGAACGCTTGATTACATCAAAGATCGTATTATGACAAAAAAAACCACAAATTTTTATTTTAAAAAAGTAACGACGTTGAGAAATGTTTCTTCCTCTTTCTTCATTGACAATTAATTGAATTGAATTGAAAGTAATAAAAATTGGTTTGTTTTACGGAACTACCGAACTCCTAAATATTATATTTCAATCGTATAGAAATGTGTAAAGCTGTAATTACACTAAATATGTACGTTGTCGCGCGACACGGCCATCGCATCGCGTTTGCCCAGCGAAATCGCATAACTCGGGTTGGTTCTTGTTCAAACAACATTGCGATAAAAGTTTCAATGAATAATATTTCTTTCAAATTCTTTCTTTAAACAGTTACGATTGGATCCGGATAAATTCGGAACCGTAGGTACATATACATAGATAGAAACACCTTGGGGTCCGCGGACCACAGGTTAAGAACCACTGATTTATCTATTATCTATTCACGCGTGTTGTAGTTTACGACTTATTGAACAAAAGATGCAATAGGGCCGAAGTTCATGGTGAATAGTTACCGAGCTACAAACCTGGTGCTCGCAGTGAGTATCAGTTAGAAACGCTTTAAAGTCCGTATGAAAATATATAAAACTTGTCATTGCAATTTACATTTATTATTTTCGATGCTGAGATTGTATCGCAAGAACCAAGTGATAAATATTTAACATTCGATAATAGAAACGTTGTGGCGACAGGTTGAAAATTTGTAACAATGAAACTTGTAACGCTTGGTGTCGCGAATAGAGAAAATGCAGAAAGCAATCGTTGCCAGGTAAAGTTAAGTACCAGAATAACTCTATCACGCAACCTCTACAATCGCTTAGACCATTTTTATTTTTCCTTCCTAACTGCGATTAATCCTTTACTTGCATCCAGCGATGGGGTTTGGAACGCTTTCGATCTATGTATACGTATGTACCTACATGTATCTTAAATATAAGATAAGATTTGATTTTAGAAAATAAGAAAATAATTTTATTTCTTACAGACGTAGACAACTTGCATTTCTTAGTATGTACCAGTTTCATGCATTCTTTAACGAGTATGAATACGGATTAACTGCGTAAATCGAGATACGCGATACGTGTAAACAAAATCTGTTTACGGTCGTGCCCTTACAACGAATACGACGTATTTCGGGTCGCGGTTCTGAGTCATACAGCTAACAAATAACTTTTAAAACATTCGATCGGGAAGAAAATATCAAGCAGTACCGTATTCGTTGATCGAATACTTTCTGAAATACATTTTGCTCGTTGAAAAACCAAGCCGAGTTGATCCACGACACAACTAGCAACAATCTTGTCGCGCGACAGTCGCGTACAATCTAAACTGTAGCGTCCTTAACGCGTTAAACGCGAATCTAATTTTGTTTCACTTTCCCCGGGTACCGGACACAACGTTTAACGTGTTAAGGCATCGAGGAAGGGGGTACCATTCAATTGAATCTAAATAAAAATTAACTTTCGTTGCACTGGACTGCCATTGTATGCCAAGTGTACCTTACCACGTTTCTCTATTAATAGTGAGTTATGAGGCAAATTTCTTTCCTTAGTAATCTCATTATTTACCCCTGACCACTGTCTCATTTTCGAATCTCTGTTTGCTCGCCCGTTACACACACACACACACACACACACACACACACACACACACACATATAGATAATTCCACTTTCCCTACTACCCTATCTTTAATAGAGTGAGGAGCATAATTGATCTAGAAAAGAGTTTCTGTCAATTTCTTTCAGCTAGCACGTTAAATCAATCTACGAATGTTTATTCCATGGTACAACGTCGTCAAAAACTTTCGATTTTTTGTCAAAACTATTTAACGTGGTACAAGTTAAATCTTTTATAGAAGAAATACTGTACGTTATCTTACCTCTCTGTTATACTCTTTCGCGACTTTCGGCGTAAAAAATAATTGATTTATATAACCCAGAAACATAAGAATGTAGAAACCGAGGTGGGTTAATGCTGCTGTGATAAACGGTACTCTCTCGAACGATTCTTTCGACCTTGACTTCGCCGGCTCTGCTTTCATTCCTTTTTCTGCAAACTAAGTATATTTTTAACATATTTACATTTGACATCTTCCTCAAGATCATGCAACATTTTCTATTTATTTTAGTTCCCCGTCATTTTCGATCAAATTCATTTATTACATATTAAATTAAAAATGCAAAAGATCTACAGTTACCGAACCTTCGCGGAAGTAACTGTAAGATTCTATAACAATCGTAACAATGGTTGTTGCTGATAAACTTGCCGGCAGATAAGCTGCTTACCTAGAAGAGTATCTGATATGTAGCATTACTTTTAGAAAAAGTAACGCTTCCGAGGAATAATAATTATTTCGCGTAAGAAACATATTTAACTTAAAAAAGAGATATTTCACGAAATTCGAATAAACTTTTTTTTAGAAGATTAAAATTGTCTTTTGGTCAAAAGCTTTTTGAATATTTTACATTTTTGTACGATCTACGCGCAGTGCACGCGTACCAATCGTACTTTTATGTAAATTTCATTAATACATCTATGTATACCAATCTAATATCTCTTCTATACTTATATAACAAGTCTCTATATCGAAGATTTCAAGCGTTTTAAAAGTCAAGTCATATTATGCATACGAATATTCTTGCCAATTAAGTGATTTACGGTTAGATATGAATGTGGTTATAAAAGCATATGTATGTACACATACAACTTCTCTTCGTGTAAGTCAGTATTAATATTTAACAATGCCTGATTATCGTCTCTACGATTTTGAGGTTAGTTTTGGTATTGCCGAATAAAACAAACAATATGCGATATGAAAGTAATACGTAAACGAAACTACGTAAAGTTATGTAGTTGCTTATAAATTTTAATGATCAGTATGTTATTTAATATTAATTTCATATAGCACAAACGTAAAATAAATATATTAATTTCAAATTCTATTGAATAAAGATCAAAATTTTTACTTTAAATGCTTTAATTGAAAGTACGAAGTCAGTGGCTTAAATAGCTCAAGCTTTATGGCATGTATAGTTACCAATCAACCACTTAAAGATAAGTCAGGCTTATAATTGTTAATTTTACCACACTGTAACATATCTATTCGGAATATTTTAAAAGATAACAATAAATTTAACTTGGTTTATTTTTAATTTATTCAATTTGAATTCTAAATTATTTTTCTTTATACTGTCTTACAGAAATGTAAAAAAACAATAAAAAAAAAAAATGCTTATCAGGAAATAAACAGAGCTAATAACTATAATTAAATACGAAACTAAACAAAAAGATACTGATAACACGAATCTTAATAATAATCGGAAATTATTATCGATAAAATATCTAAATAATTCTGTATGAAATGAAGGAATTTTAAAATGTATTCAATACACATAAGTAATTCAAACAAATATGCACATTTGAATTGTTTGTGAAACAAATTTTAGGGCCAATCTTTACGTACTTCTATAATTATAACATTTTCACGATTAATATAGTCATTAGTAGAAACTTTAGTATTTATAAATTTGATTTAAAAATATAAAGATCAATCGCGATATATTGTATGAATTTCCAATAAATTTCAAGTATTATATTTAATACTTTGTCAAATAACATAACTCTTAAATAAAAATAATTCACGTGACAGGTGACGATCTAACCTGTACACGTCCATTGCTTTGTAAACCGGCATGACCATTAGCTAGGAAGTCATCGTGATAGGTTAATCCATTTCTACTGCTTCGTTTCTCCTCGTGTTCATTCAGCTTTCTTCTAGTGGCAGCTTGTGCCGCCATTTTGCGAAGGGCAAATTTTTCACCAAGTACCGTAGGACCAAAGAAAGAAAAAGGTGTCAGAGAAGGAGGAAAATACAGAGAGAACACACGCGTCAACATACGTCCGTACGACGCGGCGAATAAACAAAGACTAACGCTGAAACCACGCGTTGCGATGTTAGCCACGCATGCGCGTCGGCCTTGCTGACTTTGTGACCGCGATTTTCGGCGAAACACGGGGATAACGCAGGCATATACGGACACGCACATGCGCAGATGAAATGAATTAGAGTGATTACTCTCAGGATTAGTATACAATTGAGAATAAAGATAATTAAATTAATGTACGCAAAGATCCCAACTAACTCGTATTTAGTGTGATTTTTGGGATCAAAATTCTATATTAAAATTAACAACATAATATAAATTGCATGCTTTTCTTTCGAAATTAAGACTAACAAGTGAAAAACATAGTATACCTGTTTCTTTATTGGATAAAATACGTGTACTTTAAATTGACTATGTATTATATTTTTGTGCAATCTAAAAGGGAATATTTTACTTTGTATCTCTTTAAAAATATTATTAAAGGATATCAAAGGATATTTATAACATTAACGACATTAAATTTCACATTTCCGAAGAATTATTATTTAGATTATTCAGTTTTTATGCACGTATTCCCAAGATTCCTTTTTATTAATTGTTTGCCGCTATGCGACCGTGATTATAACGCAGGATACCGGCTTTGACATGCGCATTGACTAACCTGTGTATACGTTTCGCATGTGTGTATATACGTGTAAACCCGCAACAACTTATAGGTGCGCAAATGACATACTTGCACACGTTTCCATTGTTTATAAGTACATATTTTTTTAATTTTGAAGCATGTAATATTTATAAAAAGTATCGATCAGACAAGGGAATTGACTTTCACCATTTATAGCATTAGAGAATAGAATTAAAATACAAAATTATAAATTGAGGAACACTTGAGATTGTTTCGAGTATTGCAAAATTTGCCATTTAAAAAGAAACATCTTGTTTCATATTTTATTGCAGTATTACATGCAATGGAGATACTTTCGTTGATAACGTTAACTGCCCCACCCTGTGTATTAATGAAAATTGAAGAGACGTATCGATTAGGGAAAGAGAATAATTAATACAAGTTAAACCGTATTTGTACAATAGAGTATTATTAAACACTAGTTCTAAAAGCGTAACTAAATATTTTAAAGAATCATGTCTACGTATGAGCTTCGAAATTAATACATAAAGAATTATTATTCATTATTGTTCATTATTCTACGTGTTAGTTTCTTTTTCAATATCTATTATACACACCCTAGTTAATATTGTATTAATTAATAATGTGTAATAAGTATGAGACATCTACGAGTATCATGAGTATCATTCTCACCTAACCTTTCCAATGTGACTCATTGTCTTAAACTCCTGCGTCTCCCTCTAGCATCCTCAGCAAGTAGTGGGAGAATGTAGCTTGATTCTCATTGGTCGAAAGTCAGGAGCGGCTGATATTCAACAGATCCCGGGTGTTTTTTCCATAAAATATTTCACTTAAATATAATGCTTACAGATATTCCTGCTGCATATTTTCTTACTCACCTTTTACTTTAATGAAAATATGTTCGGTTCGCATAAATATGTAAACGCATAAATTGAATGAAAAATTTGTCTAGTGTATTATTTACTGCCCATTACGAATACGTTCCTGGCACAAGTAGTAACGGTGGGGAAGAGCCCTCTCACGTCACCCTACGAGATATTCTGTCACGGAACGTGCTTCAGAATTGAGTCCACCCGTCGATGAGTGAACGTTAAACCGGTTTTCATTTTCTCAACGTCTGTAGCTTATTTATTAACGCATTAATAAAATATTGTGCGTCGTTTAATAGTAAGTAAAAAGAGAAATTGCCAAATCAAGTCTATATCGAACCTTTAGTTTCGAAATATTCGAAAAAGTGAAACTGTATGAACAAGTGATCGAAATAGAGTGAAACGTCAACATCACCATCGCGAAAATAACTCTCGCAAACTGCTTCAGTTATCGAATATTATAGAAATACGAGAAAGGTTGTAAGAAAGTTTTATCTGGAAATCAAATAAAAGTAAACGGAGGAAATAGTGAAAGAGTCCTAAAAGGAAAGTTGAATTCTATGACAGGATAATCGTCTCCTCGCGTGTAGCAAAGATGGCCGAGTTGAAGGAGCAGCCAATCAGAAGAGAGCACGATTCGATGGACGACTTTGAGCACCTCGAACACGTCCAGGATGGACAGTCGAGCCACCTTAATGCTTACACTGATAAAGTACAAGGAAATCTAGAACAGAACTTGGACATGGAAAAGGACATGATTAATTTTTCTCTCAATCAGTCGACGATTGAACCCGAAGATTCCAGAAAAGCTACATTGTTACTGTTAGACTCGGAGAAAGGTAAATTGCCCGAAAGTAGTAACTTTGAGGTTAGATCGAAGGAACGGGAACCTGATTTGTTAACGGGTAACATAGAGGACCAATCGGAAATTATGAGTATGCAACCAACTATTAAAAAGGAAGAAGAAAAGCAGGAAGCTGTAGAAAAGAAGGAAGAAATGATAAAGGATACAAAAATTCTAGATTTTAAACCTGAAACAGTTTCTTCCACGGACGATTTATGGAAAAATATGGAGAAGCCTCAGCCTGTTTTACAGGAGACACAACCCGTTTCGGAAAAGCCACAGTCTATTTCGAAAGAAGAGAAAAAAGTAGAAAGTGTGAGTGATCAGTTTGTCGATACGGAAAGAAAAGAACGAACCAGTGCGCCAGAAACCGGGGAATCTGACTTCGAATCAGAAGTAGAAGCGTCACCGGCGAAATGCTTTAAGCCGGTAAAACAGGAAGCAGGACGGGAAAGAGTGGAGGATGTGGAAATCGCGCCAAAAGAGATATTCTGCAGTATGGGAATCGGTGAGTACAGCTATGAAATGCATTCGAAAGAATGCGTTACACTAAAACTAAAAATTTAATCAAATTAACATTCTACTACATATTCACATTGCTTGACTTTATACAATAGTAATACATAATACGTGTCTTTGACGTATCAAAATGTCAGTTTATCGGATAACGTATTATTATATTTACAACTTGTTAAATTTAAGAAAATTCCTTCGTCGTTAACACTTTGGCGACGTTTTTATTAACGACCTCTACAATCTCGAAAGCAGAAACGATTAGTACGAAATGTTAATTAATTTAGCATCTTCGTACGAAGTGAACCACACTTCCGCTTGGCTACAGGCGTCACTGCTTTTCTGAGCCGTAACGACGTAATTATTTATTCCAGACATGTCGCACTTGTTTTCACGATGTCTTATCCTCCCATTGGATTAATGAAAAATTCATCCAAAAAGAATGCATATATGTATATGGGACGCAATTTTTATGTCCCGGTAAAGTTTCTCGAATTGTTTACGATCTGACAGAGTAAACATAACTAATAAATGATCACAAGGTTTCAAATCGTACATTTTGAAAGAGAAAGTAACTGCGTAATTTTTGGACATCGGTAACGTTTAAATAATGTTCAGAATAAATAAAAGATTTCGTTGATATTTTATATGACGCAGTACGGTACAAGTCATTGTTCCTAGAAATTTATACCGTTATGTGTACATATACATATATGTATATGTATATACGATTATACGATCAGTAACGGTAAACTGAAAGTTTCACGTTCGAAACCGAATGAATTTCCGTTACGTTAATCGCGAATTAACACCTTATTAGATTAAACTTAAAGTTTATAAAGAATATTTATAAATAATTTTTATTTTTATTACGTACAATCAACAGATCATCGTGACGTCACGGTTTTGGTAATTCGCAGTCACTAATAACTGCCACAATTGTTTAAAATATCATGGATGTAAGAAATAATTGTTACTAAATAACTAAATAATTTACAGTTTTCTCCAAGACAGATTCATTCTCATTTTTCATAAAAATCATTTCTATTGCGTAATTATGGGATAAATATTTGTAATGCAAAAATGAATACATACAATATCATAGAAATAAGATAAATGTCGACGTTGTCAGGGAACAGTATTGTTGAAAAGAGTTAGTCAATTGATAATTTAGGGAGTTGAAAGTTTGAATTGCAAGATGTTAGAAGAATGTTGCACCATAAAAGGGACTGTTACATTTTGCGTATGGTTTCCACGGTGAGTCCAAGTCACCCGTATCTTCTCTTTATATTGATCCACACCGGGGATACCTTACGACCTCTTTTGGTTGAACCAATAGGAACATCCAGACCATGGGAAAATAGAGCTACAGTAAAAAAATGTCTTACTACTCAAACAGACCAGTTTACGATTATTTATATTTTCTTTGTTAAACGCACATGCTTTGAATATCGGGTAACTTATTTGATACTTGGCTATAGCGTATTTGCAAGCCCTATACATACATACTTACGCATAATTGCCGTGTAAAGGTAGAAAGTTGTTGAAATCGAAGTTTCCTGTTAAAAGTCATCTACTCCCGAACAGTTTCTCACCGAGGCAGTGCTGTTTCGTTCTCCGTAGAGATATTTTTGTACGTGATTTCAAAACGAAAAATTTCGCAGTCTGATTCATGTATTATTTCCGATCGCAGCAGATCGCGTCACTTCTTTTCTACCAATTCTTTATGTAGGTAGACAAAGAGACAAAATAACAAAAGTAAAACGTAGAATCGTTAAGTTTAACCAGAATTTTAGTTTCATTTAAATTGTTTCTTATTTGAATCGTTTCATTTAAGGTTATTATCGGCTACGCATCGTAATATTCTTGCATCTGCGAAATATTAAGAAAACATATTAATTGTTAATTGTGTACTTCTCCTTTTGAGTAATTGTTAAACCAAAGATCCAAGTCCTTTAGCATCGTAGGCTTTTTTATACCTTATGCATTAGGCAATTTCGCTACACCTTAAATTTACGCCATCTGACAACATACGCCACGACTTACCCGTTCATCGTCGTTGGTAAGCACGCCATCTGTCGTTCTTCAAACGAACTAACTTTACTTTACTAGAAGCCGTATCGGCTCCCAGAGCGTACCAATAGCAGCGTGAAGTAGTGGGGGGATATCTGGAACTGTCCACGGGTCGATAATAGTTGTGTCAGTTCTCTTCTCGTCTCGAACCTTGGAGTGTCGTTTGGGTGGTACGCAATCAAATTACGCGAAAAATTGTTTGATTTGGAGTCGTACGATAATCGTTTGATGCGCAAAGCGGAATCGACGATCGAGATTAAAGAAATTAAGTGTGGAAAAGTAAAAATAAGTCGGTGAAAAAAAAGTCGAGAAGAAACGAGTGTTCCCTCGAAAAGTGCGCCGTTCGCGCTGTCGGCTCGGACTGTTGAAGCAGTGTTCGAATGCGATTCGTCGTCCTTGGTTCGATCGAGACGCAAGGTTAGGTGAAAATGGAAGCGGAGCCGGTATGCCCTGTGAATTTTCCAGTTCAGGAAAAGGACGACACTGGTGCGGTATGCAAGAAACCGTGCAGCGGTGTAGTAGCCAATGGCAATCCTTGTTTCTGGAATATTCTTGATCCGTGTATGTTCATTTTTTATCATTCTTTTTTAGCATTTTCATTTGACGCGAGAGTTCGAAGCATCACGGGACTAGATATGGTTGCGTAGAAATTGTTGATGAGAGACGCCGATTCTCAATTGGTAGGGTTTTAAAGTCCGCACGGTGGTACATTCTTTGAACATACAATAAACGAATATAAATGAGAATGAATCGTCAGATTTGTCTGTGCACAGCATGCGTGAATACAAGATTACTTTGTTAAGTCTGTCATTATATGTATACATATAGAACAAAACGCTCTTTAAAGAAACAGGAAGGAGGATCAATTTGAATAATACTGGTTTAAGTGTTGTTCAGTGAAGTGTCGTCTACATTCGGAAAATACTGTATAGAAATTAGCAAGCAGTTTCAGTTCAATGGTAATAAATTCGAAACGAAAACTTATTTATAAGCATCGTATCTAAGGAAAGTTGATGCCATTGTGCTTTGTTAGAAGAGGGTCTGAAAATTCCTAAGGTTACAATGCTAATCATCCATTGTAAAGAATGTAGGGTTGCGTAAGAAAACGACCGTTGCAGGATCAGTCAGTCTTGGACAAATTATAGTAATATCAAATAATTCCATTTTCCATATATTTATTAGACGTATGTAAATCCACATACTTTTTGTTTTATTTGTTATAAATGTGTAAAAGTGATTCCAGTAACGTGTCGGGAACATAAAACTTGTTACTACATACCGATATCGTATCTGTTGACTTTATTTCGAATAGGTTACCTTGAATGTCTTACAAATATAATTTTCCACAATGGAGAATCTTTCATAATAACTATAAAACGTCCTAGCCAAAATTTTCGGTAGCTTATCGAATCTATTAATATACACTTGTCAGATTCCTAAAAAAAATTAGGATAAAGTTAAAAATATATAACACTCTTATAATCTCGTAAAATTGTACCAAGAAGCAACTTGATTTGTCAAAAATGCTCATTTTCTGCAACAAAAGTTGTATTATTAATTTTTCAATGTTGTACTGAATTTCGTTTTTGTTATGAAATCGGTTGTAGAAAAAGTATAGTCGGCGATGCAACGAGCGAACATTTGAATAACTTTCCTGCATACAAGAGTTCTATTTATCAGTAAACGTTTGATTAATTTGTCTCCGTATCCGTAGATTGTTCGCATTAAAAATGGAAAGATGAAAAGAAATAGATAATTATGTAGCTCCGAGTGCATCGACTGTCTGACATGCGCAGTAGAAACGCGATTTGTAAGTGGGTTATTGATCGTCGAGTATCGGTTTTTATAAATATATTGCACACTCAGCATTGTAAATAGGAATTTTTGATAAAAAAAAAAAAAAAAAAAAAAAAATAAAAAATCTTATCGATCGAGCATTCGATATTATTTTTTAATTATTTCAAACGACTTTCAAAATTGAATATCGTCGATCTTTTTGGTACGATCGACGTTGGAAAAAAGTTGTGCCAATGGGCCTAGTGTCGAATTTTTCCGTTTTAATGTAGCTTTAATAATAATTATTATCTTTCGATTAAAATCGTCCAAACTATTTTGTGTAGTATTATCATTTTACTAATATGTATATAGATAATAGATAGATAATGTGTAATCCTTTTTTTCACGGTTAAATTAAATAAATATAAATGTATGTTATTATTTCTGCAATGAGTAACAAAACTGAGTAAAAAACTTCCGATCTTATTAATCGGTACCGAAAAGGTTAAATTGATACACAATTTTCGTAGACATTTAACCTTCGATGAACTCAATTCCATTTATTGCCAACTTGGGAAAATGTTATCTTTTAAATTGATTTCTAAAATGGTGTCCTCGTAGCAGGAATTGTTTATTCTGGATTGTTTCTACGTATGGAAATTAGAGTATAATGATATACGTACGATAAATAAAAAAAAGAGAATTTTATTGAGAAATCAGTTTGAATCGCAACGGTGATATATCAACAGATATCATGAGTATCGGTTACATAAGAAGATGATGATCGACATTAATTACCACCGTAAACGCTATTTCAGACGCTAAATACTTTTATACTCGTTTATTATGACGGTATAAATTCTTTAGGAGGGCCGCCTTAAAATCGTGTCTTGGTTAAAATTTAAAACGATCGCATAACATGCATTTAACACACACATTTAATACGTTTACCGATTCAAGTCGAATACGTGGAATTTGTCGCGAAAGACTTTGAATTGCGTAACATTTATCCGAACGGAGACACACACGCGTGTCTTGAAAATTTAGGTGAAAATTTCTAACCCCGTTATATTATTTGTTAAATGTTCTTACATTAGTCTTGCATTACGTATAAAATATTTTTTTTTTTTTTAAACGAATAATCTAGCAAGTCATTTTGATGTTAAAAGCAACTCGATCAACGTAATATCAAGACATAAAAAAAAATGAATTGTTCGATAAGAAAGTATCAAGTCTACGCTGATTATGTTGTTTATCGAAATCGATAAAGACGAATCACGTGCGTAGATTTTAAGTTGATTTGTCTGGCCGAAATACAGAGACATACGTATAGAGATAGAAGTCGAGGTCAGCCATTGCGTAATACTTCACAGTGTGCTAATTACATCGAATATAACGAATCGATTTTTGTGAATCTGCTATTTAAGAACGAGCTCGGCTCATTTTGTCACTGTGTTATATCAGGTCTGGGTTATCGTTGCAACAATGATAGCAAAGAATAGAAAATTTGATAAATTCTTTATATCTTGCCAAATAAAACAGAGATTGCGTTGAATAGAAACACATATATTATTGTACTCCCGTCCAATCTCGAAATTTGGCCCGCAGAAGATATTATTTTCTCCTGTTTGGCCTAGTAGGAAAAAAAGTAAACTGTATAGCAGCAAAAGCGAATTAAAAGAGATGAAAAGTTAATCCGCCTGGAAACTTTTAACTTTAATTAGAGACTGAATGAACTGCTACGCTTTTCGAGAGACAAGTCCAGATTAAATAGCACTGTGTGGTTTTCGTCATTTTTTTGTGGTTCTTCTGGTTGTATTAGATTCCGATCTAGATCTTGTGCACTGTACATTTACATTTAAACGCACACGATTTGTTCGATATTCCTACAGATGCAAAGTGAGGTAGTTTATACTCGAAGAGAAATAATTTGCTTAATATAATTTGTCGATTGCGATAAATGATTCACGTTCCGTGTCATAGTTTTAGTAATATAATATCACTACATTATCTACATAATAGTACTGTAATAATATTTACCAGCGGAAAGCGTAATTCATTGGTAATTGATTTCATCTGTTATCGTAACGCCCCATCGTCGTTTTTCGTTATTCTTCGCAATCGGACGATCGCCACGCAACATCCAGAATGCGAATATATTTTTGTTTTTCTCTCATTCACACATTTCTCGATCATTGTAGAGTAGAAGTAAACGTTGATGAAAGACGATGGGAACTAACATAATTTCGATTCTGTTGTTTACAGACGCATGGTTTAATCCCGAAAGACTGAATCCAAAAGGTAAGAGACCAGCCTCGATGTCGATGTCCGTCTGCTTATTTATGTGTTCAGTCTTATATGTATATGCTTGTTATTTATTCCAGTATTTTCTTTTGTTTGTTTCTTAAAATCCTTTCCTCAGCATTGGTATCGAATAAGATAAAAAGACAGATAAAAGTATCATATACAGGATGACCCGCTTCAACTTTACCGCAATATTTTTTAAAAACTAAATAGACAAACGTTTCTGAACGAGCATCGAATGATTTTATTCTCTCGCGTATGCTGTTGCCAAACGTTACTTTCGATCTATCAAAAGTATCATTGGTTCGAAAGTTTTGTACAGTAACGTATATTTTGATCATTTTCACGCTGAGACAAGTTCAATGATCCATAATAGGTAATTGATAGTGTCTCGTAGGCGACGCGTTCGCAGAAACGACTCTCGTACAATCATTACGATACCAAAGTCTCGTTTGATTTCCAACAGACCTTTGAACCGTCCGATGGACTCTTGTAAAAGATTAACCAGTCTATTATTAAATACGTACGCGTCATCTTTACTTACGTGCGCTCGCTTGGTTGCTTTTTACGGCAATCGTGTAGCATAAGTCGAAGGAGAAATCGACCGAACGATGTTATCGCTGAATTATTTGGCTCGTCGATAGAACGGCTTAGTCGCGAATGTAAAAAAAAAAAACGCCGTTTCACGAAAAAAATTATCACGTGTGTAGGATTTTCGTAACGTCGCGTCGTTCGAGGAGCAAAAGCACGAAAGAAGCCGCTCGTACACAGAATGCGGTACTTTTACTGATTGCGAGCTCGTTGAGAAAGGCGCGTGCTTGATTCCGAACTCTTTTGCTGGACCAATGTGTTATTTTTTTCACGCTTGCAAGACATTAACGCTTACAGCGGTAAACGAAAGTACATACACGAACGCTTAAATTTACGAGATAAACTTTGTTGCTTTCTATAAGGATTACAACCACGCTTTCGTTCCTTCTATTCTTACTCTAATCTGTCTAATTAATCCCATTAGCATTATATAGAAAAATGTTTTCCCGAAAAATGCACTCACCTACCTATCCCCACGATACAATAATGCATCGTAACACATTCTGTTGGCTTGTTTTAAAACTTAAAATCACTCTCACACGCCATTCTGTTTCTTAACTGTTCGTAAATGGCCGACAGAGATTAAAAAATTGCTGATAATAACCGAGAATTTAGCAGCGCGAACGACTGGCTGACACGGCCATCACAGCCACCACGTTGCAGTCTTTTACAAACCGTGTTGGAGTTGAACGACCTGGTCATGAAATTTTTTCTCTTCTCCTGTGACATTAGTCGCACGTTTCGACTCGGCGCGTTAGTCATTCGATCCCTTGCAACGGCAGTCGCAATACGCGCCATTGCATAACGGCCTGTCCGCGGAGTTCGAAACCGCTTCTTGAATCATAATTTCCTTGTCGTTCGATTGTCGCCGCGACGCGAGGCGACGCGAGGCGACGCGACGTTCAGTTAACTTCCTTGACGACCGCGGATAAAGCTGCAGCCGCGAATAGATGGCATTTCGTGTACCGTATACAAACTAGTTACAGATTCTTCGATAAAACCAAAAGGAACGCGACAATGTAGAGTCTAAAAAAATGTTAGCCCCAACAACGACTCGAAGTATCGTATTTTTTTTAGTCCGGCATCATTTTTATTCGCATCACGGAATTTGATTGCAACCTAGGTATACGTATATTCGAGTGGGAGGACTCATTCAGAAAAAAAGTATTTTTGCCGTACCTGACCGGTTGAAAGCTGAATGACGCGAGTAGGCGGTACACGGTTATTTGCATATCATGTTCGTGACGAGTGTTTCGCGTTGGATAACTCCGTCCAACTATCCGGTATCTCGATTGTTAGTGACACGAGTGCATCGTTGGATCGTTGTTTTGCGATTCTACTGTTTCGACCAGCGTCGGATAAATTTAAACAACGAGTCAGGTTCATACCTTGGTCGCAAGAAGCTTTCGGGCCCTCTTTCATCGACAAATTTTTAATCAGGTTGAACTGAAATTTAGTTTCGAGTCCCGTATTAGGCAGGTAAAAGGTAGTTCATTGACTCGATCGACTCTACTCTGAATTGTTTCCTGTATAAAGGTTGCAATATTTAACCGATAACGTCTAGCTTCAATTCCCCGCCAGGCCAGGTAAGGTGTAAGGAATAAAAGGTCGCGATGATTTCATCGACACCACCCCAGAGTTCCTTGTCTGATCCGAGGTCTAGAAATAAACTATCGATAATGTGTTAAAGGTCTGCTTATAATATGTATAAGAGTACGTTACTAAAATCTGATTGTCGGTATAGAAACTATAATAATGAACGAACGAATAGGAACACGCGAGATCGCCAAGACAAACGATAGTGTATTCCCTTCCGATTCGTATCAACTATATCTATGTAGATGATACCTGTTGACAGCGAGCATCGTGTGTCAAAGATCGAGGCGCATGACACATTCTCTAATTCGAGGCTATTATTCGTTCTGTTCATCGATCAGCGGTTCAAGGTGCTTCCACTGCGAATAGCAACCTACAGCGATTGTACCTGAAGTTTGATTTTCACAATCGGGGTCATAATACCGTCTAAGACGATCAATATTTTTCAAAGCTTCGGATCGTATTCGAATTTGATTGTTCCGGGATTTGATAGATTCGAAGCGTTGGAGATTCCATCGGTAGGTGCAGGAAAGCTCGGACGAGCGTGTCCCTCCTCCCCTCCTCCCCTCCTCCCGTTCGCGTCCGTTGGAACGGTCGAAAATTCGTCGCGGCAGAATCCAAAAAAGCCGGAGACGATTGGCGGCCCTTGTCGACTAAATATAGCATCCAGCCGGCGCGGCGGTTCGAGCTTGGTACTCTGCCAGAAATCTCAAAGAGAACTCTCGCTTTTCCCCGAGTGGTCATCCGCAGTCCGTTCTCTACGCGAACAGCGCCCGCCGCGTCTCAGCTCGATCGTTGCCGCGGCGCGTCTTTCCTCGGTCCCTTCGATCTTCCCCGAGCGCAAACGGGGAGGAAGAACCGGAAAGCAGAAAATATGGCCATCACGAGGGAGGAACGTGAGTACGGGGAAAAGTGCAAGGGTTAATTTGAGAGGGGGGGGGGAGAGAGGAGGAGGGGAGGGCAGGGAGGAGACGCTACCACCCCGGGCGTTGACAGACTGCCAGACGATGCTGATCCGCGCAGACGCGTGTTACGTCAGACCATCTGGTGGGGGATTTTTCGAAAAAGTTAATGATTTTAGCGTCGAGCTCGAACTGGGTCTCTCCCGACTCGACACATTCGACACGGAATAGATTTAGAACGATCGAATCGGGCCGACCGCGCGCTCTTTTAAAACGCGTGTCCAACCGTGAAAAAGTCGTCATTTTTTATCCTATATTCTGTTACGTAACACGTGTCTCGGAGTCTCGACGACAGAGCAACTTTCAAACGAATTAGGAGAACTGGAAAAAGAAAATTTAATTTACCTATGCTTGGAGAAAGAAACGCCGCGACCAATATTTTATACGTGTCCACCAATTGTCAATAACATCACCTCTCTTTGACCACTTATTGCAACGAGAACTACAAAGACTGACTTTCCCTTAATCTAACAATGCATTGTCTGCTTTCGAAATGGTTTACTTTTCGACCGTATCCAATTCTCGAAAATGGTGGTGTTATTTGTAAAAATTTGTTGCCAATTCTATCAGAAGATTGTTCGTACTTGGAATTCTTTCTAGGACATTGGTGAAAGCATCGAGTTTGATAATACTGGCCACGAAAAATTTATAAGCTAACATTATTTTTTCCAACGATTGTATTTTACAAAAACGCAGAAAAGCTACGTTTGCGTGTCGCATTAAATAATGATAAAAACGAAAGTGTCCATTTGCTATTCGATTCCCTGTAGATATACGTATAATTTCCCACTATAGCAGGGGTCGAGTTACGAAGGGTAGATATATATCAGGGGGTAGAATCATTGGCAGGTGTATTTCTGGGAATAGTAAGGGGCGCCGAGGCAACGGCCGACACTGCGACGCCGGGCGTCGCACTACCAGAGACGAGTTATTGATTTTCCGCCGGCAAACCGCGCCCCGAGCGTTTCCCTCCGTCCTATTCATTTTCATACGTGACACTTATCAAATACGTCTTTCATGAACCGTGTGTGTCAGTTTCAGATCTTCAAAGGTGTCCAGCTTCCGGTACGACTTTTTTTTTTTTTATCAAAGGCTAAACCAGGCTGAAAACTATTCCGAAATTAACAAATTTTCACACTGTGTACAGTACGCTTAGAAATGTATACAACGAGCATGTTTCTATTAATTGTGCTCACCTTAAATCGGAGACAAATAAGCGGCATAGCAGGTTTCAAGGCTAGGTTATGCGTAAAAGACATAGATCCTCGCACGATCTTGGTCGCATTTGTGCGTATCGAAGGTGACTCATGTTTGTCCAGTCCTATTGCGCAGTCAAGACGTACTTACTTACATACATATACGTGTGTATATGCCATCGATTATAGTTTCATCGTAACACGTTCTTAGATACTAATGCATTTATGACAAAAATAATAATAATAATAACAACAACGATTTCTTAAAATTTTGCATAGAAAGCTCCTTGAATCCTTGATCGGCATTTTCGTCTAAATTGTCGAATGAAAAGAACGGTTACGCGAATTTTGTAAAGTTTCTTGGCCTTTGAACATTCGGCTCGTTCGATCAGGAATTGCAACAGATGACATAAATTCGTTTGGCAGAATTACGGGAGAAGAGTAGCGCAAGACGTTTGAGAAGGCCTTGGAAACAGTTTAATAGACCGTCCTTTTTGGATTAGAGACAAAGCCGACGGTAATGCAAAATTCGAGGATCCACCAGCTCTCTATTATTAGGGCTCCTTCAAGGCTGTTACACGAGTCGCTACCATTAATCACTACCTCGCTGATACTTAATTAACGTCGAATACCTTGGTGATACACCTGTCCGTCAAATTTTCGATTCTCTACCTCAAAGTCTCTTAATTATTCTTTTTGGTGAACACGATAGATAGGCAACCCGAATCCTTTATTGTTCTAGGCTTTAGAAAAGGTACTTATCGAACGCTCTAATTTAGTGTACAAATAATAGTTGAGCGAAACGTTTACTCGGTTTAGTAATTCGTATATTGGATCTATTAGAAGCGGTCGTAGGTCGTAGCGCTCTTTTTTCCTTCCTCCATCCGTTTTGCCTGCCTTTTATCTTCGCTGGTTATACTACTGGTCTTCTGTCTCTCCCTTCCTTTTCTTTTTCAATTCCAGTTAGCTGTTAGCTGTTCCTCCTTACTTCTCCCACTTCGCATAGAACCCGTGTACACGTATGTCTCTCTGTAATATCACGAGGCAGCAGTTCCATGTGCAAACGAACCCTCGAAGGAGGTGGTAGTGCCCAGTGCTCCCAGCTTTCTTTGCATTCAAGCGTCGTTCTCACGGTTAATAGGTAAAGTCTGTTCAACGAGAATGGGACGTAGAAATAATTTAAGGGCCCCCGTGGAAGAGCTTCCCGAAAGAGGTCCCGGTGAGTTTCCAGCTAGTCTTTCTTTAATCTAGATCGGAAGGAACGATTTTCCCTCGATCTCTGGCTAACATATGGTTCGAGCACGTGGTCTCGTGCCACACTCGATGCGAACACCCGTCTTTTTCTGTCGCAAATGCGTTATCGTCGTTTTAGATTTTAACGCGACGGTGCATCGTTTCTACGGTTTCTGTTATACTTGTAACTTTTAGTAAAGAAATGTTTGTAAAAAGGAGGTCACAAAGGAGCTAGAGAAAGAATTGATTTCTCTCGAGACCTACGGAACGTGACATTCTTAGTCTCGCTAATACTGAACGTTCGATTGAAAATTTTACATACGCGTAACGCATTTTTCAGATGCAAACGCACTTTAGGTAGGTTCAAGGGCCACCCTGTATATGACCGATACCTTGGAAATCGGTTAGAAAATTAAAGTAGAAATGCCTGCTTTACCACCGAACTAGTCCATATTTTTGTACATTATGATAGTTGATTCTATAAGAAATAAAAATTATGATATACCAGATTGTCTTTAAACTCGTACTTACGATTGACTAAGAAAATTTTCTCTGTTTGTAGTTGCAGCTTTAATCTACTGGCGTGATCCAAAAAAATCAGGCCCAGTTTTTGGGTGCATACTCGGCGTACTCCTCTCGCTGGCCTATTTCAGCTTGATTAGCGTCCTTGCTTATTTGTCACTCATCGTTCTCACCGGCACCATCATCTTCAGGATCAACAAGACCGTTCTTCAAGCAATCCAGAAGACCTCCGATGGTCATCCTTTCAAGTAAGTTTTTTATTTTTTTTTTTTTTTTTTATCAAAGAACATCTTAGATCAAGGAACCCTCTTTTTAAGAAAGTATCTGTCCCCGTGACTGACATGATTCCAACCGTTCTGTTGATCTGAAAAAGGAGAAAAAGTATCTCGGTCGATAATAAATCATAAAATGCTTCTTTACTTACTAATGATTTCTTTGAAATTTCAGGAAAATTTTAGAGCTGGACCTGACAGTGCCCGCTGAAAAGGTGCATGAGGTTGCAGACGTGGCTGTCGCTCATGCAAATGCAGCGGTCAGCGAACTTCGTAGGCTTTTCCTCGTCGAGGACTTCGTTGATTCCTTAAAGTTCGGAGTCTTACTTTGGTGTCTCACCTATGTGGGTTCTTGGTTTAATGGCATGACTCTGATAATAATCGGTAAACAATGTAACATTATTCTAAATTTATTAATCTTTTCTGGTCGAATAATAGCTGTGAGAGACTTAATAATGGATTTTTCTCTAAATAAAATAGTCGATTAAGATATTATTTATCGCGTGTATTTGTTCAGAAGGATATTAATAGGACCGATGATGTCCCGAGAATGGATTCGGCGTGAAAAACCTACATTCGCGATTTAACGTGTCTGCGGTGGTCATCAAAATATCCATATAACGAGGTCATTGTTCTCGTTGAGCAACGTCAGAGTCCGGACTGTCAAACTGTCTAGAGCAAACGTTCATTCGACTCTAATAATAATAATCTAGAGAAATACGATAAAGTTTTGTACAAGTTTGTCGCCTTAACGTTTTATTATTACAAATGTTATACGATAGAATTGATCCTTGTTGCAGGGGTAGTTGCTCTTTTTACACTACCGAAGATCTACGAGACAAATAAGGCACAAATTGATCAGAATTTGGCCGTGGTGCGTGGCAAGATCAACGAGTTCACCGCCAAGTGAGTATAATAATTTCAAACTTATCGAACGATAGCTTTATATCTAATCACGTTTGAATATTTTCTTTCTATAATTTAACTCCATATGTATTTCCAACCAACACATATTTTCTAGTCAGCTACGTACGTCTCTTCCATGAAATATTAATATAATTTCGCAACAAAGTATGTATTTTCATTTACTAGATACAGCTGATATTCATGCTCTTGATGCGGTATCGTGCCAGGCATGGGTGTTCGACACAGCATAGTCTATTAAAATAATCACTTAAATTGGTTCTACCTAAGGCAAAGGGGATCGATTGGGTGTTCACTCGCGAGCTTTCTAGATCGATGTATAACTAACTATACGTTGATCGGTATACAGAGTTTGCATTAAAAATTAACTTGTTTACAAATCATATTCACTTTTTCACGCACCAAATTTACCTCAATACAGAATACCGTATTTTCTATAAATGTCGGTTAAAAAAATACTAGAAAACTGTACGTTGTCGTTCGTTCGATTATTGTTTCAGAATAAAGGCCGCTATACCGCTTGGTAAGAAAGAGCCAACGAAGGAAGAATAAATTGAAGAATACACCATCACGCGGGGGCAAAGAACTTGAAAGAGTTTGTTGGGCAACTGAGGAATTCACGCAGGAATGAGAAGCAGAAAATAAACACGATGCAAACGAACTGAAAAAGGATACGGAAATAAAACGTAAAATATGATTCGGTGGAGAACGAAAGAAAAAGACAAGACAATGAGGAAATGCAGAAAGAATGAAGAATCGAAAAAGAAAAGTAAAATACGAACGAAACACAAAAGTTGAACACAAGGAACAGCATACCAGGGAATAAGAAGATGAATATAAAAAAAGTTCTTAGCGTCTTGAGAATTAAATGAAAATGAAGTAACATTTTGTTTAATTTTTGGACTTACCGCAAATGAAAGAATTGTATAAGTAGCTGTAATACAAGCATTGAGAAGAAGACGTATATGTATAAGAAAAAGAAAAGGCGGAGAGAATCACTGAACAGAAATTTCTTCTAAAACAGTGAACAGAAAAGCAAATAAATGTCAAAATAAAAACAATTTCAATAGGACAGAAGGACAACGAAAGGATCATTAAAGTGCGTGTAGGAAACATGTCTTTTCTTAATATTTAAACAATGGCAGTTGAATTTCATTGTTCGGCTATATCGTAACGCGAATTTTCCTTTTTCCGGATCTGCACAGTGTCCCTGTTGATGGAAATAAACGAAAACAAGTACCATTTAGCGATTATGTTAATTCGTTGCGACATGAAAGGTGGTAGAGAGTCCTTTGGTGTGCTCTACACAAAACCTATGAATGGTGCAATGCGTGTGTGTCTCTTAGGGGTTTCCCGGTTTTTCTTCCCTTTTTTTGTTTTTTTCCTCGCACTCTCCCACACCAGTTGATTTTTCATCATCAGACATAGGATGATATGCAGCCCCATTAAAATCAATGATCGTTCATTTTTAAAAAATTTGTTCATTTCATAGTAGGCATATATAAATGAAACAATTTCCTGGTAGAAAAATTACGAAGGTGTTTTCTTTCTTAGTCCTTAACAAATTTACTTTTTACTTGCGTTTTTTATTTATAGTTTTTAACAGTTGTAGAATGAACTTAACAATATTTTCAGAACAGTGAAGAATAACTTTTAAAGTAAAATACTGTTACACGATCGCATTCAATTGTTACGAATGAAATAATACAGATAGCTTGAAAAGGAACGGATGTAGATTATTTTTCGTTTTAAAAGTTTTGGATAATTTTGTTAAGGAAAAGTGGTTTAAAATAATTTTTTACTTGAAATTCAGTTTAGTTTCTTGTGCTTTGATTTCATTTAAGATACATAATTGTGTGAAATTCAGTTGTTTCTTTTCTCAGTATGTCATTTTAGGCCAGTTTCCTAAATTTTTATTGTTAAATAGTACTATCGATTGTTTCAGATGTATGTAAATATGCGTCTTATTTTTTTTATTTGTTTGTACTTTAAGAAATGATTAAACTAAATTCAGATTCCTTTAATAAAAAAGATCACCCAAAATCTATTTAAAAAATTGAATTCGGAAAGGTGGAAATTTATAACAAATAATCTCTCTGCATTAGCATAGTCACAGCTAGATAACATATTAATTTAATTAATAATTATCTTTGAAGCTTTTCAAGTGTTTTTATTCCTATTATATTTGGTATCTCGAAAATTTATACGAAACGCGTTGTCATAGTTAAATATATATACGATTAATTTTGTTTATCCGTAGTAAAGAACGTTTTCTATTAAGAAAACATATTATTAAGGAATAAGACTTGATTGAAAAACGTAGATTATATAGTTTTAACAATCGTCCAGTCAAAAACCTCTCGCTCTTCTTTTTAATATTATATGTTTTATAAAAACACGTAAGCAGAAGGTAAACAACAGTTAACAGTAATAATCAAAGTTGATATTGAAATCGTTGGCAGTAGTAGTATCGTATTATGATAATTACAGCAGTTAATTTTTACTTTGCGCATATTAATTGCCTTAAAAATAAAAATTCTGCGTTGTGTGAAAAGGAAGAGTGTATGTGTGTGTGTATGCATATGAGAGTGAAACCAAGAAAGGGATGGTGTGACAGAGAGAGAGAGACTGAAGTTTGAAAAGTTTAATACCGATTGTTAACGATGTTGCGAATGTTGCACATTCATCTTGAATATTATTTTTTAAACGACACTATAAATGCTAATAATACATAGGTATTATTCAATGAAATCTGATTTTATTTATACCATATTTAAGATTTAAGACTTTTATGAAACGTACAGATAGAACGCTTATAAATTTTTAATTGATTGTATTCATGGTTAATTAAGGATTGATTTTTCTTTTTTAATATTAAATTTGAAATTTATTTCTCCAAAATGAAGTCGTCTTCGTTAGATTAAATGTTGGTTAGTTGCCAATTAATAGCTGCAAAACATTTCCTTACTTTACTGTTTATTGTGTTATGGAATTAAATTCTATCTCGTTGATCGATGAACAGAGTATACGTTATTGTTTTGGGGAAATTTTAATTTCGCTTATAAAGAAACATCCTTAAAAACATTGTTCCTAAATTTCTCTCTTAATATATTATGTTTTATCGTGAATTTAAAAACACGCGTTTGTGTTTCTTGTCTGATTAAAACTATTTCTTGTTGATACAAATGTTATTCGATCGGCATAGTCATTCTTTATTGTACAGTTTTATCGGCCGTGAGAGATATACTTTCTAAACGACAGATTTATATGCGATAGTTTTTCTCAGTACAAACAAGTTGCAAAGATCTGCATACATCTGATTATCTTGGATGAATGTTTTTTATTAAATTCATCGATTTACTCTTGCAACAGCGAAATATTGTTGAAACATTACTTTCAGTAATAACACAATTTCGTTGGACAAACGATGAAAAATTTTTTTGAAAATTAAACCGATCGAGCACGTTAGTGGGTCTGCATAATAATCGATCCCTTAATCATCAACCATTAACAATTCTTCAGAGAGAATGATTGCGACGAGTGTGTACGCGCGCGCGTGTGAATAAAAAAAAAACGACGCCGTCTGTTTTTTCTTCGGCGGTCTCGAAGATTTTTTTCTTCGATTAATGCAATTATCGCTATTACATTACTAAGTGTAACTATATGGTTAAACATTACGATGGAAAGTTGTTGGCTGAATTACAAGTTTTTATTACAATAATATCGTTCCAAGTAAATCGATGTTGGTACTGAAATTCCGTTAGAATTTTTTAAATCGTGTTGCATCGTAAAACATCAAATGTATTTAATCAGCAAATTTGAAAGTCTCCAATTTTTTAACCTAATTTTTATACAACGTGATTTGAAACAGAGCTTTTTAGAACTTTGAAATCTTCCATAAAAGAAACGAACGATGTCGCTTAAAAGATATTATACATTCTTATAATACACGTTTCAAAATGCTCTGTATAACTTGCGGTGTATTTCCAAAAATTGAATGCTTTTAAATTACTTTGAACCAGCATAAAAAGTGTAGTCGCATCTCTTCTTTTCTACGATGGCACGATTTAACAGGATCTGAATGAAATTTTGTCGGATGCCAATCGTCGTTCTTTACTTCAAAATATGGCGTCCGAAAAGTGACAACAATGGTAGGAAAAAATGCGAGTAAAATGGCTAGAGACACTGAAGAGGAAAAGTCTCTTTCAGAATGCGACTTGTAATACACGTATCGCTTATTGACGTTTTCATTATTGCATCTGCATCCGCACGATTAATTTATAAATAAATTATATTAAACAAGACACCGAACCGACGATTTCTCTTTTTTCGCTCCTATAATTTATTCGAACTCGAACAAGTCGTATCACACTTTTTATACTTATTTAGCATAAAAAGAAGTTTCTCAAGTAGTACTATCCAGAATCAAAATAGAACACACAAACACACTTAATCGATAGAAGGGTTCTATAATAAACTCGAAATCGCTTAACTTTTTCTTATATTGTCGTTAACAACCCAATTAATGGTCGATGTAATATTAAATAACAGATATAAAAAAAAGAATCTTACCTAACGCCTCATATTTTTCAATTATGGTTCGAAAAATCCATCTATTGTTTGGTCACGACATAAGTTTTAAATAAAATAATACGGTATTATGAAGTTGTGCGATATTTTAGAAATTACAGTAACGTCGATAATGAATTCTTTACAGGTTTGTGTGTGACAAAATACACCATAGATGGCGGGAGATGCTTGAAAATACATAATATTTAATATTCTGAGCACAATCGGTATTGTAATCTGAAATCACGTGATGACAATTGGTCAGTACGCTTGCGCGACCTTGATGCAAGGTGACCGCCTCGAAGTTGCCAAAGTTAAGCGTGGTATTCGCCTCTGGCTGTCGTACATGCACGGATCTGTCGTGAAAGCCGGTCAGTTTTGTGTCTAACGATAACAGAAGCATTGCATTTCGTTCGTGAAAAATTGCTGCCCGTAAATAGACGCGTCAATATCGGATCTAGGCATCTGTGTACACTAGCCGGTTTAATTGACAATTTTACAGAAAAAAAGAAATTTTCTTCGGCGAAAATCAGTCGGTGCACGTTATAGGTACGATAATATCAAGTAAATAAACATCGAAAGAGAAAAATGTCAGTCTCAGAGGTGGATCACGAGAAAAGGAAGCAAATCTCTGTGCGTGGAATCGTTGATGTGGAAAATGTCGGGAATTTTAAGAAAACTTTTAACAGACATCTACACTACACACTGGTGAAAGATCGTAATGTGGCCACGAGCAGGGATTATTTTTCCGCCTTGGCACACAGCGTCAAGGACAACTTAGTATCAAGATGGATACGTACTCAGCAATATTATTATGAAAAAGACCCCAAGGTATGTTTTCCTAAAATCCTGTAATTAATATATTATGTAAAATACAAAAACGTGAGCTGCAAGTATATACATATATATATATATATATATATATAACAATTGACGAATAGACATTCCAAATAATAAACATTGATACAGAATATTCTGTTTAACGACTGTTGGTAGCTGGTAAGTGTAATTTTCGCAATTATCCAGTATTATGAAAATTAGCTTGGACAGAGAGAAAAGTTCCAGGCTCTCGCCGAGAGAATGCCGCGTCGCACTCTAATCTGCCGGTCGAAAGCAGCGAAAGAGGGAAGAAATCCCCTCATCTGGACAACTGGCAGATCTGCCAAGTCCATTCTTTCACTTACGAGATCTTAATGTAACCTAACGCTTCTTATACCTTTTTTTTCTTTGTATTTAATATTGCATCACAATGTAAAATCATTAGCGACAGGTTCTGTACAATTGTTTTTTTAGATGTTACTATTAAACATTTTTATACAGCTTGGTTTCCTTCGAATAGTTCCAAGTGGTTTTCGAAAGTCAAAGACGTTTTTGGGTCGAGTCCATATTTTCGTCTTTTTGGCTCGAATTTTCTACATTCATATCGAGCGTGGTGGATTGTTATTTATTTGCAACAGGTGATACAAAAGGATAATTCCGTCTTCTTTAATTATACGCGATCAATTTTTAAGTCGCTTCCTCATGGACGAAACATTGTTATCCTTTCCTTTCTACTCGGATAATTGATAGGGAAATCATAAATATTGTTTACCTATGCACGATAATAATAGAAGCGTTGTATAATAAATATCGATTTCCAAAGATTCTGATTTCTCGTTTATGCGTTTTCCTTCTGATTGTTGGCTTGATAATGACACGTCTGTATTATGTTACCGGTCAATGGCTTTCTCTTTGTTCGCTGTGCGAAAATAAATGGGCACACGATAATTTCGGCCATTGTAATTATAGTCGACGCAATAATTAAATCAATGTACAAACGACGCGTATCAACGATCTTCACCTTGAACTAAAAATTGAACCAACATACACGAACAAATCGGATAATGTTTTGTTATTGGGAGAAATGCAAGTACACTAGCACTCAAAAGTTTGGGTATACCTTATCGCAAGTAAGTCTTTATCAAATTTGAGAGTTATAGGAAAATCTAAATAATAAAAAATACGAATATAAAGTACATTTCATAAAAGTTACTTTTTACTATTACGCATCTTTACCATACGGAAACAAACATAGTAAGATAATGACTATTGTCTATGTATTGTATGTATTTGCTTGTAAAATGAAAATATGGTAGGTATACCTAAACTTTTGGACAGTAGTGTACTTTACGAAAGATAATATAACAGGATAAAACTGAATTGCTGGTCCAAGTAAAATTTTCCCAACGGTCGAGAATTATTAGTACAAATACGTATGCAATACTATTTATACGATAAACATGCTATATCGTAATTAACCTTCGAAACGCAGATGCAATACGTTACAGCGTCTATTTTCGTTTGGCCTTAGTATCATCTCATCTTGAGATCTCGAGCCAAAAGATTTTCATTCTTATCCTACAATGTCACGTCAAACGATAACAGCGTTTCGATTTTTGAAACCATTCCAATTGCATCGATAAATAATTAATAATTGTTTATCAATTTTCACGAGGCCATTGTGCTCGTAAAATCCTGCGTCTAGCTCTATATTAGTCATAGGTCTTTAAACATAGCTTGTTACGTATTCCAAGTATTTTTCAATAATTTAATAATCGTTTATAGTTTGTGAGTAATTTAAATTTGAATTTATATCTTTGGTAAATAAGGAAAATTTAGATAGAGATGATATAAAATATGGCGCGGTTATGGATTGGGAAAGTGATGGAGATAAAGGGGGAGAGAAAGATAATAATAGATATGTAGAAACGACGTTCTGTATAACTTGTTTGTGATTGAACGAGGGACAAAATGAAATCAGATAGCATGAACTTTTTACATCTTCGTTTACATGGTTAATTACACACAATCGTTAAATTAATTTACGCAAATAGGTAACGACGGAACAAAACGCTATTAAATGGTTCACTTTATGAGATATTCGTAAAATTTAATTGCTTCAAGAACACGAATCGCGTGATGCAACTATTAAAAGCCGACAAGTCACGTTTAACACGTTCCCTCGACAGATTCAGCTTTTGGATCAAGTCGCACATTATTTCAAAAATGATTTGGATGTGCAAGCTATCCGAAATTTTCAACTTTCTACGAGTCGGCGCATTTTCTATAATATCTCTATAGACGATTTTCTATCCACATAATTATACGTAATTTATAACTTAAAAATATGTTGCGTATATTCTAAAATTAATTTAATCGTTGAGCACTAAACGAGTATTTGTACGTGGAAAAAAAGAAAATATTTCGTGTGTGAATCGAAACCGAAATAAAAATGAATTTTAAACGAGTCCACTTTCGTCTGCTCTCCCGTTTCAAAACACCAGTTCAATTTATTTTTATTCGCAGACCAATAGAGACGCGTAAGATAAGATTTATGTTAATTGATTTTGTAACGGAAACACGGAGGACATAATAAGACTTAATCTATGGAGACTGTTACATACACAAGGCCAATAACTTTTACATCGCTGAATCATAGTTCAGTGTCTCCTTTTTTTATAGACCCTATCGCACTTTGACGAATTTTATTCACGAATAAACCAATACAAATTTTAGATTGATTGGTAAACAACCAATTTTTATTTATGTTTTACAATCCTTCTTTAATAGTATTCTTTTCTTTTTTTTTCTCTCCATTGTTTCAGAGGGTATACTATCTTTCTTTGGAGTACTACATGGGAAGAAGCCTTCAAAATACTATGATTAATTTAGGTATTCAAGGTGCTTGCGATGAAGCAATGTATCAGGTCAGTTTCGAGGAAAATCAATAAATAACATGCAAGAAAAATAAAAAATTGTTGTTTTACTCTGTTCTGATCGCAGATGGGCTTAGATATAGAAGAACTTGAGGAACTTGAGGAAGATGCTGGTCTTGGAAATGGAGGTTTGGGAAGACTTGCAGCATGTTTCTTGGATAGCATGGCTACCCTTGGTTTGGCAGCCTATGGATATGGTATTCGATACGAGTATGGAATATTTGCACAAAAAATTAAGAATGGAGAACAAGTAGAGGAACCAGACGATTGGTTACGGTATGGAAACCCATGGGAAAAAGCTAGACCAGAGTTCATGCTTCCAGTGAACTTTTATGGACAAGTTATCGATACACCAGAGGGAAAGAAATGGGTGAACACACAGGTTTGTACAAAATATGTAAATAAGGTTTTAAGATAATGTCTGTTTGTCAATGTTAAATTGTACATATTTTTTAATGCAGGTAATATTTGCAATGCCCTATGACAACCCAATTCCTGGATATAAAAATAACGTGGTAAATACTTTGAGACTGTGGTCTGCTAAATCACCAGTAGAATTCAATCTACAATTTTGTAAGTAAAGCTTACTTATTAATTTATGTATCTGCTCATCTATCTTTCAACATAAATAATAAATACATCTTCAAATTATAAACATTGTTTTCAGTCAATAATGGTGACTATATTCAAGCTGTGATCGATCGTGACTTAGCCGAGAACATTACCAGAGTACTGTATCCAAATGACAACTTCTTTGAGGGGAAAGAGTTGCGATTGAAACAGGAATACTTTATGGTTGCTGCAACTCTTCAAGATATAATACGCAGGTTACTAAATATTCTTATTCAACCGGCTCTTTATTTGTCCACTTATGCTTGCAGCAAAACAACGTATTTCATCATTAATTCTATTTACTTTTATGTACATTATCTATTTATTCCATACGCGATATGTAATCATCGGTTCTTTCCAATTGTTCTTTATCGTTATAGGCACGCGTGTAGTATATCTAAATAGTCTTAGTTTATCGCACGATGCATGGATTTTGTACCCGGTTGTTTATATTTATGCATACACTCGTTTAGTACTTAATCACAGATCGTGAAAATATTTATAATTCTTTATTTATCGATAACATTGTCATTGGCTCGACTTTATTTGTCTGTTATAGTATTTGATAAATAAATTTCATAAAAAATAATATCTTGGAATATTATTAATCGTAGATATAAAGCTAGCAAATTTGGTTCAAAGGAACATCATAGAACAGACTTTGACTTATTCCCTGACAAGGTTGCCATCCAGCTAAACGATACTCATCCTTCTTTGGCAATTCCTGAACTTATGAGAATTCTTATTGACGTCGAAGGACTTCCTTGGGAGAAGGTGACCGATTGTTTGCATATTTTATACATGACATTGTCTACGCAAAATATATCTATGATAAGCTTAATGATTTTTGTCTGCTATAAAGGCTTGGGACATCACGAAAAGAACCTGTGCCTATACCAATCACACGGTGCTTCCAGAGGCCCTGGAACGATGGCCCACGAACATGCTGGAAAGCATTCTCCCTCGACATTTAGAAATCATCTACCACATCAATTTCCTTCACCTGCAGAATGTATCTGCTAAATATCCTGGCGATGTTGATCGTCTTCGTCGTATGTCTTTGATCGAAGAAGAGGGTGAGAAGAGAGTTAACATGGCACACCTTTCCATCGTTGGTAGTCATGCCATCAATGGTGTCGCAGCATTACATTCAGAAATTTTGAAAAACAGCGTGTAGGTATTTTTCAACCGATCGGATATAGTTACGGTACTTTCGACGAATACTTCTGACAGTATTACTATTTCAGTTTCAAAGATTTTTGCGATATGAATCCCGAGAAATTCCAAAACAAGACCAATGGTATCACCCCAAGGAGATGGCTTCTTCTATGCAATCCAAATCTGTCTGACGTTATCGAAGAAGTGAGTATCGCTATTAAAAACTTATACAGTAAAAGTTGGATAGCTACAAGAAATGATCTATTAACATTTTCATTGGAAAAGGTTCCTGGCTTAGATCCCGATTTTCATACAGTTATACAACTTTTGCTGTATTCCAAAGTAACAAATATCGAAAGATTTTAAGATAAATAAAGAATTTTTGAAAAGAAACTTTTAGACATCTTTGATTTCTTTAACGCGTCATTCTTGACACGTGTTTTTAGAAAATTGGCGTCGAATGGACAGTGCATTTAGAGCAATTGGCACAGCTGAAACAATGGGCTAAAGATCCGGTTTTTCAACGGAGTGTCATAAAAGTAAAACAAGAAAACAAACTAAAAGTAGCACAGTTGCTTGAAAAAGATTATGGTGTTAAAGTGAACCCTGCCTCCATTTTTGATATTCAGGTACCTTCTCGTAACATAAAAGCAGAGATTCTAATCCCAACCCAAACCCAGTTCGGCCCTTGTTAATCAGATTATGGTTATACGGTGATTAGAATCTCTGTATAAAAATAAATTTGCATATTACATGTCAACTTAATTTATATATTGTGAAAAAAATACAGGTGAAGCGAATACACGAATACAAGAGACAACTGTTGAACTGTCTGCATGTGATTACTCTGTTCAACAGAATAAAGAAAAATCCAACTACGCCATTTGTTCCGCGAACAGTGATAATCGGTGGAAAAGCAGCACCGGGCTATCATTTGGCAAAGAAAATTATAAAATTGATTTGCAGCGTAGGAAATGTTATAAACAATGATCCGATTGTTGGTGACAAATTAAAGTTTATCTTCTTAGAAAATTATAGAGTCACCTTAGCCGAGAAGATCATTCCAGCCGCGGACTTGAGCGAACAGATTTCAACTGCTGGTACCGAAGCTTCCGGTACGGGAAATATGAAATTCATGGTGAGTAATGAAGAATAGATGATTTACCGATCAATTTGTTGAATCGTTTTTGGATTGATTCGTTTGTGAGTGACCGGAGTACTTTATTCCACTTTATTCAGTTGAACGGAGGCTTAACAATTGGCACACTAGACGGTGCCAACGTAGAAATGGCCGAAGAAATGGGCGAAGAAAATATATTCATTTTTGGTATGACTGTCGATCAAGTGGAAGAGTTACAGAAGAAGGGATACAATGCTCACAATTACTATAATAGAATCCCAGAATTGAAACAATGCATTGATCAGATTCAGGGTGGCTTCTTTAGTCCTAATAATCCAGACGAGTTCAAAGACATTACTAATGTTCTGCTTAACTGGGATAGATTCTATTTGTTTGCCGATTATGAGAGCTATATTCAAACGCAGGATCGTGTCAGTAAAGTTTATCAGGTGTGTTCGCAAGAATTTTTGTTAAATATTAGGTTTCGTAAATACGCGTGTCTTTTAAAATTTTGTTTGCTATTTTTTGCTTTATTTTTTCAGGATGAAAACAAATGGGTGGAAATGGCAATTAACAATATAGCTTCGTCAGGAAAATTCTCATCAGATCGTACAATCGCAGAATATGCTCGTGAAATTTGGGGTGTCGAACCATCCTGGCAGCGACTTCCTGCGCCCCACGAACCGAGAGACATTTAAATTATACTTTACTTCTTTTTTTAGCCAATTTATGTTTGCGCTTATTACGCATATTAAAGGTCGTAAAATTTTTTTTTTTCTCCTTTAAATAGACAAAGAAAAATTATTTTTAGATAGGGGTGAGTAATTTTACAACTAAAGCTGCAAAGAAGTAAAATTTTACTAAAATACAGTGCAGAGAAATCTTAAGATATAAAACAATTTTAACTTGTTAGGTAATTTGAGATTGTATAAGTTTTAGAATACCATTTATTATTTTTTTATTATTTTTGTTCGCCAACGACTGAAAATTATTCATATTTGCTTAAAGAAAAAGCATATACATATACTGCCTGAATCTTGTTAACAATTTTATTAATACCCATCGACTGATCATCGAACGAGAAAGAAAGTTGAATTGAAAAACAAATTTCTCGTATTCCTACATTTTAACCGAAGATAAAATATATTGTTACCAAATTCAATTTTCTTTCAAACAAAAATAACGTAAAAGCAATCTAGTCGAGAAGAAAAATAGTTAACAGAAAAGTATCAAAAATTAATTCACTCGTATTTTTCTACTTGTAAATAGAATGCCTACGATAAATTTGGAGAAGATGAAACATCCATTGATTGTTAACTAACTCTGACCTTGATCCCGAATGATACTCGAGAAAAACTATGCTATTTATCTTGAATTTTAAACCCTCCATTATAATATTACTATGAATATTTAATTGTATATTTCATAATGCTTATGTTATACGAAAATCTACTAGTATTGTAAATAAACTAGTATTGAAAAATAAATATACTTGTTTTTATCGAATGCGATAAAACGTATTGCAATTATTGATTTTTTTTATTAAAATGATTATTAGGAGACATGACCCAAAAAGCCAGGGATAGTAACCGATCCCAGAACCGAAATTCGTTTGGGGTTCAGAACTTATTTATTTTGATACTTGTAAAATATAATTTTTAACATTAGGGTTCAAGTGCATTTTCGATTCTATTTTGTTCTCGTCACGCACATCAATCATCTAACAATATACTATGTGCAGAACTCCATTTTATCAATACCTACCGTTTATTTAACTTAATATCAAAATACACGTATAAATTTTCGGATAAAAAATGAATTTTGGTTTCGGAACTACGTAGTATCCTTCCAAAAAATGCAATGTTTCATAGTTCCACTTTGTTGTCATCTGCCTGTTTATTTTGAATACGCGCCTCGAATTTAATCAGAGAAAAGTTCCCGATCGGAGTGTCGCGTGTACTTACGAACGTCTTACAACATATTGTTCTAATAAATCATTCTTTGAGATTATCAGAAAATATGTCGGTAAATCAAGACGAGATTTTTGTGCAAACAAAGGAAAACGCTCGCCGAGAATTTTCGTTTGTTGACGAAGACACAGTGCCGTTAGTGAGTATTGATTAGTCATAGATAATGCAAATATAGATTTACGATTTACCAATTGAAAATTTCGGCGTTGATATGTAACCTACTTCCCTGTCTCCACCCAACGATAGTACTCAACGTATATGTAGAAATATGACTGTACATTAAAGTTGAAGTTTTAATAAGACTATGCCCGTACTGCTTTAAATATTTGCTAACATAACGTTTCGTATATTCCTATATTCGTAATTTGTGATGTTAATTGCTTTAACACTTTGTCTTACAACCTTCGTAGTACTTACACATATATTTACCATTTTAGTTAACCGTTAAAGCTATAAATACATTGTAACGAACTACATAGCATATGGAATATGTAACCAATTATACATGGTGTAAAATATACATTAATGGTTGCTATTGTGTTAATACAAAACGATTTGAGAATATTATTTCAATTGATCAGTATCTATATATAATTCCTATTACGGAGAAACTACTAAAAAAGTATCAGACAAGTGAATTTGTTGGTTATGTTAATCTTGAATAAAACACACATTTGTTTTATCTTAAATCTCCCTCAAATGTATACATCTTTTATTCGTTTTAGTTGGTCATAAAGAAAGTTGTAAAGAAGATAGTATATTCATAAGAAACATTAAAAACTAGAATGTAAAAGTAAAGTTATCGAGAGGGAAATATCCGCAGGTTAGACACTAATAAGAAGTTTTTTAACTGGCATATTTAACAAATTTTAATAATTATTTTATCACAAGATTTCTTTTTAAATTCGAGAATATGTATAAAAATTCGAGTTCTACACACTCGTTAGAACTTTCTATCTATAATACAAAAGATTCTATCTACCTTTGCACGAGAATTTAATGGTGTTCTTCATCTTTGTCTAGGACTGCTATCATCTTTACAATATAGGTTCGCGACCAGTTATTTCGTATTAAGAAAATGAAGATAAATGTCTGCATAAATAGAATAATGTTTTCCATGAATACTAATGCCGAGGATTCGAATCCAAACTTTGACTAGCTTCTATGTATGAGCCTGCAAAACCCGTCTTAAGTAATTACAATCCTTTAAGACACTCGGTATGCGGAAATTAAACTGACAATATATTATATCCTTAATAAAATTAAAAATTAAAATTTTTGGTTAACGATTATTCATTGTAAGATATAAATTAATTAAAACTATCTGAATCACGTAGTCCCTTTGGCGCAGAGGATAGCGCGTTGGACTTCTAATCCAAAGGTCGCGGGTTCGATCCCCGCAAGGGATGTTGTGTTTTGCTCTCTCGAAAACTTGAAATTTTTTTCTAAATTTCTTATTTAAAAAAAGAAAGGTAAAATTATTTTTTTTGTTTCTGTGTTATACCGTTAACGTACAAGACAAATATTAAACAGTAATAATATAAACATCTTTTATAACTGTTTTATATACCGGATGTCTTAAAAGTTACAATATCAATTAGTGAAGTACTCAAATATTTCACCTACACATCTAATATTTTAAAGAGTATGTATTATTAAAACTAAGATACATTTTTGTATTCACATGCATTGTATTTTTGTTACAGGATGGATCCAAAGCATATCCATTACAGCCTCTGAAGCCAACGTCAGCTATCGTGGTCACAGGCTACATTCCCCCCGATGCATTAAGGTAAATTTGTAGTCGATGCTTTTATAAATTTAGAAAAATGTATCGTATAAATAAATGCATAAAACGTAATTACTGTAGATTTTCAGTAAATTTATTATGCAAAGCAGCCAGCAACATTGCTTTACATTTCAATGCGCGATTAGACAGGGGCTACGTTGTACGAAACACGAAATTTAAGGGGTCTTGGGAAGAAGAGGAAACATGTTCTCCGGCTGCACATACCGCCTTTCGGCGCAACTCTTACGTACATATTTTGATTTTTTGTACTGCCAACGCGTTTCAGGTAAGAATTAAAAATGTTCTACTCCGTTTTCTTCACCCCGTGTGTTAAAATAAAAGTTTATTTAAAAAGTTCAATTCAGAGATGTAAAGTAGAGGCTTTGCCCTTTAAAATGAGTCCAGGGAGACTATTATACGGTTTCCTTTAAAGAAGTTACAATCACTCATAGATCAACAATTTTTTACACTTTTTTAGATTGCTATAAATGGGGAGCACTTTTGCGCATTCTCGTATAGAATGCCTCTTGAAGACATAACAGGCATCGAAATCAATGGATCGCTCGAAGATACTAGGTTTAGGCAGCTCAAGTTGTTTGTTTATCCTGATCCAAAACTATGCAGGCCAAACAATTTTTTAAGTTTAAGAATCGATCGACCACTTGTTGAAAGCCTCGTAAGTTCTTTCCATATTCAAAAGATTTGTTCTTTTGGTGTTGTTGAAATTAAGTTTAATTATATATAGGGTGTTCCAATTACGGTGGACCTTGACAGTGAATTCAAAGTAGGAACTAGACTGTTTATTGCTGGAAGATTAAAACTTCTTCCTCATTCGTAAGTTTTAACAGATTTTTTCTCTTTGTCTAGACCCCTTTGTTGAACATGCTTTCACGGTTGTCACGATTCCGACCGCTTTGCTTATCTAAAATGAACAAATTAAAAATCATTTTATTCTGTGTAAACATAAGTTGTTGATGACAAACGTTTCTTGTTTTCTTCTATTCTGCAACAGGTTTTATGTGAACTTACAGAAGGGAAAGATGATCTATCCTCATCCCATAATTACTTTCCACTTTAATCCCCGTTTTATGTACGGTAACTGCGCCCCCTATGTCGTAATGAATTGTTGGATGAATGGATCTTGGGCACACGAGGAAAGACACGATGGACACTTATCCTGGATGCCTGGTCGTGATTTTCTTTTAACGTAGGCCTCACTCATTTTTAAAAGTATCAAATAGAGAAACAAAGAAGCAATACGCTATTTACATTTTTTTTACAATGTTTAAAATGAATTTCCTTTGTGTCTTTTTCCAGCAGAATTCGATGTGAATGCGAAACATACACGATATGGTTGGGAGACAAAATGATTAGCGAATTCAAACACAGATTACAACCATCTATCATCGATACCCTTAGGATTTCCGGAGATATCGTGCTACACGAATTAGCAATGACATAAGCAACATAAACGAACCTCGTCGTATAAATTTCTATTGTTTATTACCTATTTTGTTAAATAAGTAGAATTGTAAATTATTTTGCATGTGAATGAATTACAATATATTTCAATATATTTAATTATGTTGATGGCTTAGGTAACACATTAATATTTTAACAAAGATTTATTATTAAATAATTGATTATATTGATTAATGTAGCTTAGCCTGTGGACGTATTAGTAATATCTTCTTTATTTCCTCCTTCAACAAATTATTGTTTCTCTCACTTTAAGGGGTGAAGGAACAACTTTTCGAATATTCTTGGAATTTCTACATATTCTTCACCAAAATATGCGATGTTTACATTTTAAAACATTAAAATCGTCAAATCCGTTCAGAAGTTATGATGTTTTAAATTTTTGACCTAACTTGCCAATCACCTTATATATGTGGCGACACCGTCGCGGCCGCGGAACCAGAAGCAAGAGCTACAGCCGCGTTCTATTTTTGCGCTGACTTTGGAGCCAACGGTGAAAAACGGTTGCCGTGTCTGATAGTTTTCCGCAATCGTTTTTCGTTATTCGCTCATCATTATCCTTTTATCGTTATTGTTATCGTTATAGTTATCGTTATTATTATTCGCTGTTCGTTATTTGTTACACGTTCGATTGTTGTGTTTGTAAAAATAAACCCTTTTGTTGTCTGTTAACCGGTGTCCGTACGTTCATACCTCCCGCCTTCGCTTCCGTTCTCACGCGACCTAGTGAAAAATAGTCGCGGTCTAGGGACCTGACATACATATATATACATAGTTTCAGGAGATACGAAAGGCGCGAACACCGAGTGACCGACCAACGAAACGGAAAGTTTTGTAGTGGTTTTAGAGTATCACAATTATGTGATTCGATTTATTCGTATACGTGATCAGGTTAGTTTGTCCATTGATTAATTCTAATTATCTTATTTTACTCGTATCGTTCATAAGAATTCGTTTAAACTTAGAGTATACCATTTTCAGTTGAAATATAATTAGTTTAAATAACACATGTTTTCTCTCATATTTTATATAAAATCATATTCTAATGATTATGTTACATCATTGTTACGTCTCTAACATTTGAATTAGTCAATACGTTTGAAATAATTAAATGTATTAATATTTGGTATACACTATTCTAAAGGTTATTCTCATGTTATACAATTTGCATTTCATTTTAATTTAAAACTGTGCAATAATTTCTACTATTAAACATTGCAATTTCAATTTTCAGACAGTTAACAATATTCTGTATATTGTCGTAATATTATTTTTTATTTGTTTCTATAATAATTTGTGCATATTATTGATCTATCTCAGCTTGTATTTATAGGAAACTTATAAGGCTGACACAACATGTCTGTAGACAGTGTACAAGGAAGTATATTGTACACTCCACGTAGAGTCCAAAAATGCTTGTTCGGATCAACAAAAAGTTCAACTAAAAAGAACATACAAAGGATTCAAAATAATTTGAGGATAGGAGATACCTTATCCGAAGAAGAATCAGATTTAGGACCCATGTCACCTTTGCTTCTCTCTCCATGCACAACACCTAAACAGCCATCTTCATCATTTAAAATGTATCTAACCAGCAATCAATCATCACCAAATGGGTACAAAAGGAACAAGACTTCTCTGCAGCAAAAAATACTACCAGATTCATCAAAAGCTTTATCAAATTCTCCGTCAAAGTGTTCTAGTCTTTGGACAATAGAGAGATCGAAACTAACACCATTGATAAATAAAGCTGCATCAAAAACACCAAATAGACATTTTGGTGTAGAATTACAAAATAATATCACAGAAACTCCATCTAAGCAAGAAAGTCCAGAGCATAGATTAATAACACCATTGACTTCAGAAAATAAAGTGATTCCATTCCCAAAATTACATAGACGCAAATCTCTCAGCATATTTGATACAACAAAAACTTCTTTGTTTGAGAGAAATGAAAGTACGTTAAAGAGGCACGCGTTCGAAGAATTAGAAAATACTGCAAAATTAGTAAAAACCAATGTTAATTGTTCTGTGCCCAAAGCTAGAGCAGCCTTATTTCGAGATGAAAATTGCAAAACAAACTTGAAAGACATAACATTAAGCACTAAGACCTTTTACAATAATTCTAACTCAGACTGGAAGAAGAATTATAGGATTATTAACAAATCGTTTGAACAAAAGCAACAAAGTAATTTCATGGAACATATACACCATAATAAAAAGTTCATGAGAAGACACACTATAGGAGGTATCAATGGTGGAGTGTTTCATGGAGTTAGAAAACCAAAACCGAAAGTTAAATTAGGTACTACAAAACATAATGCCATAAATATTGTAAAAGATACTGTTATCGATTCTGTACAAAAGAATATTCCCGAAACGAAAGATATGGGGACACCTGGTAAAATATTGAGGGAAAAATCTCCTACATTAGAAATTGACAGTAATAAGCGTTTCTTCAAAATTAGAAGAACGTCTAAGAAAAATAGTTCTGCTACGGTAATGATAAACAATAACGTTAAATTAAAGGTTGGATCGAATGATAAAATGGCACTAAACGAAGAGAATATACAATCTGTTAGACAAGCTAACAAACGAGCAAAATTAATGGACATTTCGTTCGATACCACCGATTTGACAATAAACGATTCGGAATTGGAAAATGATATGATAGAGGAGAATAATATTACCAATATACTGAAAATGTTAGAAAACGATTGGGCCAATGACGAATACGATACAATGGAAATACTAACTAATCAGAAATTTGGACACATTTCGCCGCTAAAACCGGTAGCAATTTTGAAAGATGTTGCTATGTCGCCGGCAAGCGAACTTAGTAACTTGACATCAGTTATGAATATCAAAGACGTTAATACAGCAATAACTTTAGAAAATGTATTATTAGATAATAATAAGAACAATGTTAAAGGGAATGAACAAAAGTACTACCCATTATTCAGTAAAGGATACTCTGCTAATAAAATAATCGAGTAAGTTCAAAGTCTTTAGAATGCTAAAATATTTTCAAGTATTCCTTACTGATTATTTCGAGCTGAAGATTTAATTTTAACTACTATTTCAGCGAAATTGGTAAAAAGTCAGCAAATAGTATAAAAGGAAACGTAAATTGGCAATTATCTGTGAAACAAAATGATGAAGATCAATATCAATTAGATGTAGGACAAACAAAATTCGGGGCTATACAATGTGCAGAATGCGGTGTCGTGTATCAGTCGGGATGTCCTGATGATGAAAATGCTCATCTAAATTATCACAATAATAGAAGGACTCTAAAATTTCCTGTATGTAACTTTATATATATATATATATAAGTAAATAATACATTATGGGATTAGTGGTTCTAGGGATATGATGCCTGCGCTTCCTGAAGTCTATATTTTTGTACACATAAATAATATATCAAATGTTGCATAATTGTAAATCTCTGATTACAAGGGTTGGAAGACAGAACGTGTAATTATGGAAGATCCTATTACGTCGAGTCGAGTGATTTTGATAGAACCTGGTGATACAAAAAAATCTTGGAATAAAATAAAAGATGTTTTAATATACGTAGACAGAGATTTGGGATTAGTTAACACAAAACTATCCGATTATGAACATAAAAAGGTAACATTTTTTTTTTATTTTTAAATACTGGTTCATTCTAATTTGTTTCATTTCTAGGTGTACTTATACATAAGGGACAATGTCATCTTGGGAGTTTTAGTTGCAGAGCATATAAACACTGCTCACTGTATGATTCCTGAACTATTGGAATTGGATTGTTGTACAGCAGAAAGTGTACCAGCTAAATGTGGTATAAATGTTATATGGACTGACATGAAATATCGCAGACAAGGCATAGCATCTAAATTAGTTGATATATTAAGGTAAACGTTTATTGTTAGATATCTATTAACAATTTTTTATTTCTTATCAATTAATATGTTTTGAATCCTTTTAGATCTCAATTTTATTATGGTTATATATTGTCTTTGGACGATATTGCATTTTCAAGTCCAACTGTGAGCGGAAAAATATTTGCCGAGAAATATACTAAGACTAAAAACTTCAAGGTTTATACCTCCGTTTGTTATTAATTTTATTTCTGTGTAAGAGTATTTCTTAAATTGGTACATATATTTTTTTTTTTAATGCTAGATTTATTTATTTGTTTTATTTTTTTAACGATTTTTCGTTCAGAAGTGGTTCATCTTATTAAAGTAACGATTATTTCTGAACAAAATATAACTAACAATGTTTCCATTTATTAAGCCTTTGAGTGCAGAGCATTTCAAAATCGAACATTCTATGGACGGCTGTATGAAAAGTGCGATCGATTGTGTAATGTTAGTTAAGTTATTGTTTTCATGATTTATTTTCACATAGAATACCATAATCCGTTCGGATAAGATACAGCAGGGGTGACGAAATCGTGGTTTCTTTTTGTTTTTCTATTCCACGCAAGCGAAGACGGATAATACCCTCACTATGCTTATTAGGCGTCTAACTAGCGAGGAACTGGTAATGGGACTGTTGTGGCTCAGCGAAAAAATTCGTCACCCCTGATCTACATTGTTCCGTAGTATGAGTTAAAAGACCATCCGCTCAGACACCCTATATATATATATATATATACCCATAGCACTCAAAGGGTTAGTACTATAATCATTACAATTTTGTCAATCCATGTTTTTTACGCGTTTTAAATGATAACGATCGGATCAGTTTGTGAACGATAATTTATCATTATTTGAAACGTATAAGTGTTATTTTAAATTTTATTTTTCGAAACAAAAAGGTTAAAAGCGAAGGATAGGAATATTATAAACATACACGTATAAACACAGAAGCTTAAATCCGCTTCTGCACAGATGAATGAATAAAGTTTGTTTCTTTAAATAAAGTTTTTATTCTATTAATGGTTATGAAACAAGAAGCTACGAGAAATATGTATTTAAAAAAACATATTAACCAAAAAAAGTAATTGTAACACTTCCAGTTCAATTATCTTAAAAATATTAATAATATAAGGTTATAAGTTCATGTATGGTAATTGATGCGAGCATATTTCTTATTAACTACCATCTTCTGCTACCCCTTCTATGAGAGTAATCAGATTGTTTTTCATTTGCTCGCTTCTCCTTCCATACGTCGTATCTATCAGCCATCTGATATAATTCCACAGGAACTTCCTTTAGAGAACGAAAATTTCACAGAATTGTGCAAAAACAAATTTTTCCCAATTACAATTCTTTAACAACTTACTTGATTAGCTTCTTCTAAAAGACTAATTAATTCTCTCGCAAGAGACCAATTTTTCCTTGTCATAAATGCTATACTTTCCCCTGTACGTCCAGCACGACCAGTACGACCAACCCGATGAACATACTCTTCTATGTCCCGTGGAAAATCATAATTTAGCACATGCCTAAGGAAGAATTTTATTTTAATAACACTCGAAAGAATCATCGATGGTTGCATAAAAGATATTAGATAAGATTAAACGTACGTAACATCTTCGATGTCGATTCCTCGACTGGCAACGTCCGTCGCAAGAAGTATTTGAACTTCTCCAGTTTTCAAATCTTCTAATGCCTGTTCTCTATCGGACTGTTCCCTTCCTCCGTGTATACTCTGACAATTCACGCCTTGCAAGGCTAATTCACTCGCTATATCATCGACTTTAGACTTTTTTCCAAAAAATACTATTACTTTATCTGTTGGAGTCATTTCACGAAAGAACTGATACATCTGTTAAAAAAAGAACATTTAATAATGTATTTTTTTTATATGATATCGTTAAAATTATTTTGTATAATATTAACCATATCTGTCTTTTCCTCTTCGTCAATAAGGTAAATTTTTTGTGCTACTGTATGCACGGTAGCTAAATCAAGAGATCCAACAAATATTTGAATTGGGTTTTTCATGTACGATTGAGCAAGACGTCTAACGCCTTGAGGCCACGTAGCACTGAAACACAAAAAGAATATCATTTTTGCTTCAATATAAAGCATTATTTTAAATTTGTTTAAACCACATATCTCATATATACCTTGTCATAACAGTTTGTCTGTCTGGCCTTACGTCTAACAAAGTTTTCCTAATTTGCGGTTCAAAACCCATATCGAGCATGCGATCAGCTTCGTCTAACACAAGATATGTGACTGATGAAACATTTAAAATATTCGCCTCCACAAGATCGTTTAGTCTGCCCGGTGTCGCGATAACTATTTCTACTCCTTTCAGTACAATATTAACTTGTTCCTTACGGCTGCCACCTCCGTACACACATACTCTACAAATGTATTTATTTTTTGCTAATATGTGTTAAATTGTAGTCCACATACGAATGCTATTAGGTTATAAACTAAATTTCAGCATCGTAACACCTAATTCTGTTATTTTGGAAATTCTTTGAATTCAGTTTCTTTTTTCATCTGCCAGAGCATCTTGTTGTAATCGTTTACAACAAATTTAGTTTACAACTTAATAAATAAACAAAATGTGCCCTTTCAAATTGTTACTACTTACGCTTTTATACCATGATAAGAATATTTATTCACTTCTTTCTCAATTTGTAATGCCAACTCTCTCGTTGGAGCCATAACGAGTACATTGGGTCCATTTCGTTCCGACCGCGGTGTTTCTTGACCCTCGATGTGAATCAAAGCAGGCAATAAGAAAGCCAGAGTCTTTCCTGAACGTATCATTAATGTAACAGAGCTTTTGCTTATTGTATTCAACGAAATTATAACAACATTGAACATCCAAATAACTTACCTGTGCCTGTTTGGGCAATTCCAATAAGATCTTTACCACTGAGAAGAACAGGCCATGCTTGACACTGTATCGGACTGGGTTTAGTAAATCCTTGTTTTCTTATTTCTTCCAGTATATCAGGATAGGCCTAATTTGTTTTAATTGAAGCAATGTATTCTTCTTTGTTAAGTATTTATTTCTAAATATCTTTTATTTACCTCAAAAGCTTGTTCGAACGTTACAATAGGATTAGGTATATCATACTCTTCCGAACGGTTCTCCTGCTCATCGAACATATACCTAACTTCTACATTGTTATTTATCTTCCTAATATGAGCTGCTTCTTCTTTTGTCATATTAGTGACAGACGGATGCTCTTTATAAAAATTTTTGATAATTGGAGCCAATTTTGACCATTTTTGAGTTCGATAATTATCCTAATAGATATATAACAATTCATGAGAAAATAATATCAAGAACTATGTTGATTATGGTCATAACAAATTGATTTTGACAATCTATATAAACTTACGCATTGTTTATTAGCTTCTGCCCAATTGAATGTGGAAAAATCGATTTCTGATTCATTCTCATTGTTTTTTTGCTCTTCTTCTGGCTTTGACGGTAAATACGAGGGATCTTGCAATAATTCTTCTATCAATTGTTTAGCTTGTTCCTGTGCTTCTTTAGAACCAACAATAGTTACAGCAGTAGTAGAATTTCCACTTGATCTATTAACCTGTGTCAAAACAACTTTTAGATAAAACAAGTTAGACAGCAATATTTTATTATACTATATATTTATTTATTAAGTTAAATTGCATTTTTTTATACAATTATCTTGTATATGACTTTATATACACACAAAAGTGAGAAAATTTAACAAAAAACACAAATTACACAAATGTTTTGGTTTACAAAACATGATAAGTGAAAATTAATTTGGAACTTATTATTTTCAACTCTCAAGTAGGTGGACTTGTTCCACGTTTGCTTTAAGTTTTTTATATGCCGTCCATACCTTTAACAATCCATATACTTAATATAGAAATTGAGGTTCTTGTTTATATTACCTACCTATACTCTTTCCTTGTTTACACAAGGCAAGCCAATATTGGCTACATCCATAATTAATATGTACCTTGATGGGGCATGGATGGCATATACAATTCCTAATACACAAGGTACAAAAACTTTCAAGAAAGCTGCATAATACAGTACACTGGAAATATCTACATTTGCTACATACATAGTCAGATTAAATTATACACTTAAAATCTCAAATTGAATAAGTAACATTTATTTAAAAGTATAAAATACTTTAGTTTTGTTTTAGTAATTTTAAAAAAATTTCAATTTATGTTGACATTTTTACCATATAATTTGTGTGGATATGAGTTTACAAAAATTAATACTCTTTTATATGTGCTTACATGAATTCTTGTGCTTGTTTTATCTTGAAGCTCTCTAATATTAGATCCACTTTTACCAATTAGTTTTCCTACTTTGTCGCTATCAATATTTATGATAAATTTATCTGATTTATCGTCAAAACTATCATGACCAGAACCAAATGATTGATTTTGTCCTCTCCTGGAGTAAGTACTCCTTCGATATCCTCCTCTATCATTGGATCTTGAGCCTTGATTGTAGTTGGCAGACGAATAAGACGAATTTCCATAACTTCGTTGATTATTGTCCATTCTATTATAAACAGATTTTTAATTGTCCATTATAAAGAGATCTTTCACGTATTTATTTTCGTGCGTTTGTATGTATGTACATTTTAATATTTAACATTTTGCGTGCCAAAAACAATGATGATGAATTATATGTATCTGTAAAAATATTCGTACGAAAAATATACGCGAGTAAACATCTTTAAATTAGCATTCATTAAACGAAATGTATCAATTACGATGAATAGGATAATTTTATTATAAGAAAATAAATATTAACGTTAAATTGATCTACCTTTCAGAAACACGTGCACGCGTTGACATTGTAAAGCTCGGCAGTACACTCAGGAATATTTTGTAAACGATCTTCAAAATTTAAGTCATTGAATTTATGGAGACAAGTTCCAGGCTCACCGCTAGGGTAATAAGAACAATGAACAATTCTAGCAAATGTTTGAATAGGATCCAGTGTTACCAGACCGGGCACTAGGTGCATCGGGAACTCCCCATTCCATTTTCGCTCAAAGGGGGCGAGTATCAGTTTGCCGTTGTCGATTCTCCGAACTCTACGAGCTCACTTATACTTACGTAATCTGGCATAGTGTGAGAAAGTGGAAAGAGGAGTTTCATTCATTGTTTTTATAACCTATTCTAAAGTTTAAATAAAATTCGCCAGTATTTCAGCTACATAATAAGAAAAAAATGTATCGTAAAGGAACATAAGAAACAATAGAATGGGACTTTATAATTTCTTCTTTATTAAGTTGTGTAACGACTGTACGTAAATTACTTTTCTGCCGACTGTAGAATTCACATGCTCTTCCAATTGGTTTAAACTCGAGATTCTGTCGTTCTATTTTACAAACTAAATATTTTCATATAAGAGCATAGAGTTCATTGATTATTGATAAGCCTAACGTCAGGTTATGCTATTATCATTGTAAACACGATCGAGATGTTCTTACATAATTGAGGTTAACAATAAATACATGTAATTTTTATGCAACTTTTTGTTTATCAATGGACAATTATCGTTTTAAACGAAAAATTAAAGAAACAAAAAACTCACTGAAATCAATGGAAATTAGATTGTTCTTAATTTATTCGATATTTATTATTTTACAAACAGGAAGATAGAATTTCAAAATCCTGTTTTCATGTAAATAATATCACTAAAAACGAGGCAAGCGTAACATAGTGCCCCAAATGTATTATATATTTCCTGGAAATATTCCATTTTCAATTTGGTCTTCCCACTTCTCTACCCAGTCATGGGGACACATTGCAGTGTAACATTTCTTGAAATACTGACAAGCTTCGTAATTTTCGCCGTGACGGTTCTTACAGCGATGAAAGTCCAGGAAGCTGGTATAACAGTACCTGTATTAGGAACACAAATAAATGTGATTTTGCATTTAAAAAATATAATCTATATGGTTATAGAATATAATACTAGTATATTTCTCTTTTTACCTTGTTTGGTTTTGATTTGGAAACCTTGGGTCGTACGGTGCTGTGCATGGCTTGAGTTCTCCATTATTAACGGTTGGTAAATCAGTAGGAGTTCCAATATTCATGTATTTAACCATATTGTTGCTGCTTAACAAGTTACAAGTTACTTAATCTATTATATTTATCGAATGACCTACATATGTCACCCTCCCTTTCTCCTTAAAGGCAAACTCTCTATATGCATGTCTCTCGCTCTAGTCCGTTTGTCTCTTGCATCACTTAACACTATCACAAATAAGTTATTTCTCCACTACAGTTATTTTCCATCCTCTTATTACTTAACAACATTCTTCAAGTTAAAGTAGTTAATAATCTGATACTATGCATCCGTAATTTCTGATTAACACGTTTGTACATTCTATATTGTAATGGTAAAGGAAAAAGAATTCATTCTGTATATACCTTTTTTTGGATAGCATATTTGTTCAAATAACAAAACACGTTACTCCGAAGCACGTTAAAATTCAGAATAATTTAAGTACGAGCAAAATTCTTTAAACTTGATCGATAGCTGTTCTGTTTTTGCTTAAGTGTAATTGTGAATTCATTAAAGAGTAGTATTTTAAAAAAAATACGATCATTGTAGTTGAAATAAAATAACAAAGTGAGAAACAAAAACTGAAATCAGTTATTTGACCAGGGGTCTAGTGTTGTCTTCTTCTTGGCAACAAACTTCTCTATATTTTTTTACTTCGGCCATGTAAAGCGACCACGCATCCTTGGGCTGTTCAACAGTTTGTTCAGTCTTTGGCTTAGCAACCATTCCAGTTTTTAAAATCCTCCCTCCTCGCCTTTTTCCCACCATCAATGGTGGGGGAACTACGCTTTTCTCTTCCAAAACAGAAGTCGTCGGTTTTTGCGCGGGTTGCATTTGTTCTTGCATCTTTTTAAACATTTCCATAAAACTACCATCATTCTTAAAAGCATTAGATTGCGGAGGAACGACCGGTTGTGGTAATGTTGCTTCTGTGTTATCTTCCGCGTTATCCGATTCGTACGATGGCGCTCTATGATACCTACGGCTTTCTCTGCCTCTATGTCTGTCTCTACTTCTGTTGCGGCTACGGCTACGCCTTCGGTCTCTGGAACGTGATCTTCCTCTTGATCTGGATCTTGATCTATCTCTTCTAGAATATTTTCGCGATCTATCTCTATCCCTATCTCTATCTCGATCCTTGTCTCTGTCAGGCGACCGAGATCGTTTGTGCGATCGATTCGGGGGCGATTTTGATCCACTGCGTCTTCTTCTACGTCTTTCCTGTGGCGAATCGTTTCGAGAAGTTCTACTGCTTCTATAGTCCGATGGCGAGGATGAACGACGCGACGACATTCTGTTTTTGTACCCATCGTACGTTGTGTAAGATGCACTATACATAGGAGGCGAAGGCGGAGCAGGCGGTGAGTCTGTATTGGATTTGGAGCCACGTTCGTGCCGTTTTGAATCCATTGTTGCGCTTGAGTGCCTCTCTCGCCAGGCTGAATGGACAGATGGACACCTATAAGGATAGAAACTGCCTTCTATAAGTACACCGCCCATTTTTTCTTACCACGCCTTTATCTGATTGGTTTTAAATGTACGCGTATGCAAGAGACAAGCGGATATAGCGAGAGACCAAAATATATATATATATATATATATATTGACTGGCATTGAAACGAAAAAGAGAGTTCAATCAAAGCTAAGATTTATTAATTTCAATAACTTTTTAATATATAAAATTATTCTAATCGCATATATTTTATTACAATTTAACACAAACGCAATGGACATTTAGCTTTGATTGTATGCCTCGTCTATAAGTATGGTTTCATACGCATAATTGTCTACAAATATTTTAGTAACTACCACTAGTACTAATTCATAATTATACTGCAATAAATTATCTTTTCGTAAAAAAGTAGTTGTACACTGTTATATAATTCCATTGTGTTTCTCTTCCAGTATGTTATATTAAGAGAATGTATATGTTGTCAATGATATTTCAAATTACATCGTTCATAATAATCGATTCAAATTAACTGATAACGGTACGATAATTAAAAACTTAACTCTTAGATTTATTTTTTGGGAAAGCATTTAGAACACGTTTGGTGTGTCGAAGATATCGATAATTAGAAATGCATTTGCATAAATAACAAGGTTTTGAAGGCATAATTACATTAAAGCGTAACATATTTGATCCATAAACTGTATAAATTTCAACGTAATACTGTACAAAAGGTAGCCGTTGACGGAATAGAAAACAGTTCAGCCCTTCTTGAATAATAATCTCATCTTTTGTATATTATAAATCTTTAATAATTATTTATCGCAAACGTAGTTCGATTTACATCGGGATAGATAATATAGAAAAATGACAAAAGGAAAAGAGATAGATAAAATATGAAAATTGATAGAAAAGCCTTATCCAAAATTAAGTACGACTTTCGGATTAGAATCTGAATTAGTTCCCATAAAAGTATAGATAAAACCATATTGGGATTTTCTCGAATAATTCGTCAACTATATTAGTCACCAAAATATTCTACAATTAGGTTACATGAAATATTTTTATATAAAATACCTTAATCAGCCGTGCGATTGAAAACAAAATGGCCACTACGCAAACTGCGCCAGACTGTTACGTCATACATTTACGTCTAAGACAGAGTGAAATATGATTCTGGAAGGGTAGATCGCGAACGTAAAACATACAGTAAACCTAATCCGATAGAGTTCGCTCGAATCTAACGCAAACTAGTGTTTTTTTTCAGACGTACCCGTGGTGATCCGATGTTATAAAGGTGATTCATTTAAAAATTAGTGATATCTATCAATAAATAAAATTTTTCATTTATTTCATTTCAGGTATTATACAACTGTGTCTTGAACCATGGATCAAAATGATTCTTGCTTCTCTAGGAGAAAGTCACTAGGTTCGATATCAACTTAAAAATCTTGGCTCGTTTAAGTAGGCGTTTTGGTTGGTGCTAAACTGGTGACTTTCTTTTGGAGGAGCAAGAATCATTTTACCCCATAGTATTCCTAAGAGGTTTTTGACTCGACGGAAGTAATTAATATTTATTAGGAAAACTTTATTGTGCGTGAACATAAAATATAAGGGGTTTAATTTTGAATGTATCTTTAAGGATAACAAACTATTTAGATAGTTATCAAGTTTGACTAGTTTATTCATTTTTTTTTACGATATTTTTACGTTTCCTTAATGTAGTGGTTCTCAATGTCGTTAACCATTTCAAAGTAAATAATCTTTATATCTAAAGATTGATAAATTTGTTATTTCATATTATTTCTAATTTTCTTTTATTATGTATCAGCATTTTGTTTCATTATCAGTCATGCTCAAACAAATGGAATCTGATTTCGGAAATGGACTGAAACTTAAACGAGGTTGGGAATATTTACTCTGGATTGTATTATTTTCCATCATTTATGTTTATAAATGTTCTTAAATATTTTAAAATAAAGTTTCGCACAGGAGTTTTGTGCAAAAATATCATCGATATAGAAAAATAAATAAAAAATCTGCAAAAATATTAGAAAATCGCTTCAACCAAGAACCGGATCTGCAAAACAACGAAACGCGAACGTATCCTATGAGGGTGGCGCTGTGCTCGTTCATTCACATCCGGCTCTCCATTTTCTTTTGGTCATCGTGTCGCGTACAATTGTGTTCTTGTTCGCACACGTTCGTTATTGATCGTTACGTTTCTCAATAAATTGTTAAGACGTTCAAAATCGTATAATTAAGAACACTCGCTAGTCTGTACGTTGCACAATATCCTCATACTTCATTTCTCTCGACCATCGTAATCCTCTTTTGGTTTATCGTGTGCTAATGCGTGGTATTTCAGAAAGCTCTCCTACTCGCGCAATGGCGGAGGATTTGGATGTCGAGGCGATGCTGGAGGCGCCATACAAAAAAGGGGTAAGGCTTAATTCTTTTCGTTACTTTCCTTCTTCTTCGTTTTTATGTCTCGGTTTGTTCCCTCGAGGTCCTGATTTTTTTTTTTTTAATCCCGTAAAGTCCACCCCTCAAGTCTCAACGCACGCAAAATCCAATTACGGTGGCGTACTGTTCTGGGCATGTTCAGTCATGTTGCGTTCGAGAGAAAAAAAAATATAGAAATGTCCGTCCTTACCTTCCTGTATATATACATGTAGAACAAAGTACGCCCTTGTCTCTCATACCGACTATTGATCAATACCTCCGTTTTCTGTACTTATAGATGGTACGTAACATGTACCCTCGCGCTCGTAGGATGTTCGGCAGCGAGTTCCTAGAATGCACTTGAAATACGAGGTATTAAGAAAAGCCATCACTAACATCATTTTTACTTAATTCTGTTTTCTTTCTTTATTTTCACTTGTTTTGTATAATTTGTTTGTTTTGTTTTTTAAATTTTACTTTCTCAGAAACCGTAACGTTTATTATTTATATGACGTAGATAGAATTGCTACTGTCATCTTTGTAACAACCATAGGAAGAGAAACAATTATGAAAAACGATGTTTTGTAATTATAGGGAATATAAAGTGAAAAGAAAAAAGTAAATCTGTTAGGTGCTGTTCTGCCATGTGCCATGCTATTCTTTTTATCTTTACGATGTACATAAAAAGTGCAGAAGAATAAATCGAGCTGTCTCTGTAACCATTATATGTGCATAGACTTGTTTACACAGTGTTGACAATGTTTTATAGTAGAAGGGCATAACTTCTACACGCATCTTTTGCATTTTTAGGTGGAACGATAAGGGTATCTGTCAAGTTTTAAAATTGAAGCATTCCCGCATTGGCTTTGCTTTGTTTTTTGGTTTACAGGAGTCTTGTATATGCACCTATTTTATATATAATTGTATATCAATTCTTCTTTTTCGGAAGAAGCGTGCATTGATATAATCGTTTGAAATTAAATAAATCAGATGGATAGTCTTTATGTTGAGAAGGAAATGTGTTTTGATCAAATTAATTTGCAAGAAGTAAATTGCATTTCATTTATGTGCTATAAGAGATGTAATGAGTAGTTTCATTGGAATATATTTTATCCAGATAGGAACAAAAAAATAAAATTTTAAGTAAAATAATTCTGTTAGAAAAAGATCTATATTTCTCTATGATAAAAGTAACATTTATTACAAGTATTGTGTATGTATCAGTTTCTTGTAAAAAGTAACATATAATTAACATATTATACTTTGTATTTTGCAAAAAAAGTAACATGTAATTAATTTTATATGCTTAAAAATATGTTGGACCATTGTTCCTGATCGTTCGATCGGAATTAAATATGTTATGTCCACTAAATTATTTCTGGTGTTCCCTTTTCTTTTATAATTCTTATAGTTTTTCATTAATAAAGTATTGTCTGTGCTATTTCGAATTCAAAGGTAGTAATTTGTACATAAAATGCATGGTAAATTGGCAAGCAGGATTAATATGTCATGAGGTTTAAACGAGAAAATGTTTTGAAAACTATATTCGCAAATACAACCAAGTTTTTGTAGAAACTTAGTAATTATTCGTGAACCATATTAATAGAAAAGAATAGATTAATAATTCTAACATCGCTGGTACATGCATTTAACACCATTATCATCATTCCATTGCATCAAATGTGGTATACCAAGTATGAGTTCGGTTTTAATCATCTGAAACATTTTCTCTATACAGCTAAGTCATCTTGTAATATATCGAATGGAAGCTGCGAACGATCGTCGATCGTTTTTTTCTTATTACAAGATAATTAATTGAGTATACATGCAGGGGTTGTAGGCTAGCAATTAGGGTTCACATCTCGTGTTACATTAAAAACGTGCTGTCTTTGACGAGGGCTCTCTTTTGCAGAAGAAAAAGGATGTGTGGTTGGCCATTGGTAGTTTAAGACCAAGGCATGCTCAACCCAAGATTGCAATGCTTTCCTAAAACCCGATAAAATAATTGGTAAGTTTGAGCCAGGTGTATGCGAGGCATCGCAACGCTACGCTCGCCCCGTCTCTCTGTCTCTCTCTTTCTTTTCTGTCTCCCCATCTCAGCCCCCTCAGACCAATATAATCTACCTGGAAAAGAGAAAGAGCACGAGAGTGCACCACCGTCCAACGCCAAATAGATCTTCGATTGCATAGTGCTTGAAGGAGAGTTGTCCACATGGTTATAAAGATTAACAGAAGACAAAGCTTCACGACCAATATATTTTATTTCTGAAACTACTGTCAGACTTTAAATTGTACAATTTGTACACAATCTATCGTTACAAAATTTACTAACGTTCTATGATTTGCTTTTTGTCCCCTTGTTCGCGCATCCCTGCCACATCGGCTGGCTGGCATGGCATTCAACTGTTTGCTGTTCGTAGGAGCAGGACTCCTCATCCAAAGACAAATCTTCCAAGGAGAATGGGTCTAGCCGCAAATCGTCTGGGTAAGCACAGTTTATATGCCATTGATACAATTAACTCTTTGTGCTCGCTACCTTTTTTAACAATATTAATTTTTTTTTGTAGAATTAGCTGATTTTATAGATTTATTTCTCTAAAAATGATGTGACTTGGACTTGTTCGATTTTTATATCGTGTTGTATTTGTATTACATGTATCAAGTAATTCTATAATTCTTGAAGAGCAAATGGTTGAGAGCACAAAGTAATAAGAAAACTAAAATAATCCTAATAAATATAGTTAGACATTTTCACTGTTATATTTCTTGCCTAGTCAAAAATTATATTTTTTCGTACATTATTATTATTATTATAGTGTGTTGGAGAATAGAAATAAATGATTTCTTTATTAACATTTTGCAAAATATATAGCTTGAGAAAAAGTAAGAGGACTGGATTTTTATTAAGGTTTTCCTTTTATTTTATTTATGTTCTGTCCTTTTCTATCGAGTTCTTCAAAATATAAAGCACACGTGTTCACGAGTATTTAAAATTATTTCATTTGAATCTTTAACAGTGTAAACTGAGGTGAATACTTAATTATTTGTGAACATTTCAAAATAGCCATTCCGCGTACGTTTATAGCTATTTGAAGTTATATTCTCTTTGTTATAGACCCCATACAATTAGTGTAAATGCTGGTTATTTTCATAATTCCAAAGGTTAAACCCAAAGATGGTAAGTGTTTAGGCAGAATATCTGTATTACAGATTCAGTTACAAAATTTGAAATATAATAAACAATTATTAGTAGAGATTTTAAGCGTAAAAAGTATATAGGAACGAAATTAACTAAAATTTAAAAAATGTCGCATAAGTTATTTTAAAATATCAAGTACTGTTGTGCTTAAAGTTTTAATTATAGCATATTTATACTATATCTTTAGAGAACTATTATGTGGAACTAAAATGGGATATGCGGTAATATAAATTGTAATTGAATTAAATAAAATTCTTACCATTAAGGGTTGTTTCGATTAGTAAATTCGAAAGTTGTTGCTTTAATAATTGTTTTGTAACGTAAAGTATTAAAATTATGCCACGCAAATTGTATCTAAAGTTATTTAAAAAATTCATTCTTGTTATCGGATCAATGGTAGATTTACAGGACCCGTTAATTCGATGCTTAAATTGTAACAAAAATATGTGGAATCGCGTATGTCGTAATATTACATATTGAAAATTTAAGCGTATATAAAATTTCTAAGTCCGAGATTCTTTCCTTTGTTTTTTTTAGGAAGAGCAAACATCGTTCTCGTTCCCGTTCTCGATCGCGAGACCGCAGGGAGAAAGATCGTCGCGATCGCGATAGAGACAGAGATAAAGATCGTGACAGAGATCGCGATCGTGGTGATCGTCGACGCAGATCAAGATCGAGAGATCGAAGAGACCGTGACAGAGACAGAGACAATGACAGAGATAATAGGGATCGACGGGATAGAGATCGGGATCGAGATAGAAGAAGAAAACGATCGCTTACACCGATTACACTTCCCCGAGCAAGACCACCATTTGGAAAAGGTGTCAGTCCCCTTGGGATGTAAGTATACAAGTGTTGAATATTAAATTAAGAAACAGCACCATTTGTCGAGTACTTTTATAACTCTTGCAATTAATAACATAAAATTTTGAAAACAACACTCATTGTGTCTCAACTTTAAGTTGAGTGAAAAAAAAAATAAAGAAAGAACGGATGTTGTTATTAATCTAATTAGGAATAAAATATAATAATGTAATAAATTTATATGTACATTGCAGTAGAAACGATGAGTTGACGCCAGAAGAGCGCGATGCTCGTACAGTATTTTGTATGCAACTAAGTCAGCGCATACGTGCACGCGATTTAGAAGAATTCTTCTCTAGTGTTGGTAAAGTTCAAGATGTCCGACTTATTACTTGCAACAAGACAAGGAGGTTTAAGGGTATAGCGTATGTTGAGTTCAAAGATCCGGAAAGCGTTACACTGGTAAGTTAACACGAACAGTGGTGCGTGCCCCGGCATTTAGTTTATTTTCATTTGTTAAAGTATATTTTATTGCTTTATAGGCACTCGGATTATCGGGTCAAAAGTTATTGGGTGTTCCTATAGTAGTACAACACACTCAAGCTGAAAAGAATCGTATGGGCAATTCAATGCCAAATCTTATGCCAAAGGGTCAGACAGGACCAATGAGATTATACGTTGGATCTCTTCATTTTAATATTACAGAAGACATGCTTCGTGGTATTTTCGAACCTTTTGGGAAAATTGACAATATTCAATTAATTATGGATCCAGAAACTGGTAGAAGCAAAGGCTATGGATTTTTAACCGTATGTATTTGAATATGTTACAAATTTACTCAAATTATTTCTTTTGTTTATTAAAATATATTTTCATTTTTCTGCATACAGTTTAGAAATGCCGACGACGCGAAAAAAGCTTTAGAACAATTGAACGGTTTTGAACTTGCTGGGAGACCTATGAAAGTTGGTAACGTCACAGAACGTACAGATTTAATACAGGGACCATCGCTTCTCGATACAGACGAATTGGATCGAAGCGGTATTGACCTTGGTGCTACTGGAAGGTAAATAATGTTCATGTAATTTTTTATATTTTTCACCTTTAAATTTATAACTAATGTTTCGATGAAAATGTGTTTAGGTTACAACTGATGTTCAAATTGGCCGAAGGAACCGGTCTTGAAATTCCTCCCGCAGCTGCGAACGCGTTGAACATGGCTCCTGTTATGTCGACTCCACAACCACCCCCACAAGCTGCCCCGCCTATAGCAACACAATGTTTTATGTTGTCGAACATGTTCGATCCACAAAAGTAAGTTGGTATAATTAGTTTTTACGTAAAATGTGCATATCAGTAGACCTAGTGTTTGATTTTTCGTTTTTCACTAGGGGAATTTATATGCTATATAAACCAAATTATCTCAAAACATTGTTTCATGCGTATATGTATACGTATGTCAAAGAATGATAATTTAACATTACAATAAGCCCTAAATGCGCGCAGTCGAATACGAGTACTTAATGCATCGTGCGATTAAAACGGAATTTACACGAAGGAACACGTTTTTTTTTTTATTTTTTAACGCATGGCTTGCATTTTGTTACAGCGAGACGAATCCAAATTGGGCAAAAGAGATTCGCGACGATGTGATCGAGGAATGTAATAAGCATGGTGGCGTGTTACACGTCTACGTGGATCAAGCCTCTCCTCAAGGCAACGTTTATGTCAAGTGTCCATCAATTGCGACGGCGGTAGCGGCCGTTAATTCGTTACATGGTCGATGGTTTGCGGGACGAGTAATAACGGCCGCGTACGTACCAGTTGTGAACTATCATTCGCTATTTCCGGACGCGATGACCGCGTTACAGTTACTGGTTCCAAGCGCGCCAAGAAGAGGAATGTGATCCTAAAAGCCGTTGTGAGAGGCGAGTTACGAATGTATAAATTCTTATAGTATTATGTTTTTTCTTACCGATTTTAGAGAAAAGAACTGTTATTATTATAACACGTAATCACTTTGACACATCATTTCAAGTCGCTGTTCGAATTATCAATCGCGAAAGTACAGAACAAACGAGAGCAATCCCGTGTACACGCAAACTCCTTCGATATTCGTAAGCGCAATTGTTCTTTTTTACATCGAAGCGAGAACATATGGTAAATCATCTGCAACGAGAATCGATCGTATTTATTCAATAAAAAATCCTCGGAAGCACTTTGTCGAACGTCAGTAATCTTGACCAATTAATACACGACAACACCGGAGGTATTGCCCTTGATATACATGCTCTGGATGGATACACTTACACAGGGGTACGAAATTTCCCCTTAAAAATAGTTATTTATTAACACAGTACAATGATTTAAGAGTATTACGTGTGTTGTGTTCACGTATCGTTATATTTAACAGATTCAGCGCAACCAACCGAAGGTATACTGGGGCTTCAATTGCCTTATTTATCATCTATATTACAAAAGGGCGACGGAAAACTGTCTATTAAACAATTGCCTATTGTCTATTTCTTCGTAAAGTTGAACGATTTTTGGCGCTTAACCCGTTAAAGCAAAAGCAAATATTAACGATAAAGTGAAACCATTGCGTATGTTAATGCATATATTGTGGTGGAATTTTCTTCACAAATTTATCGTAACGTCAAAACTCGCAGCAAAGGTTGTTTCTTTAGGAAAAACATAGACTTGTTATATATTGGTAAAAAAAACGCGTAAAATATTGCGAGAATGAAAGAGAAGGGGTCTGCAGGCAACTAACATTATCGATAAGATTCTTCTTTCGTTTTGGTACAATCGATAATATGACAAATATTTTTAACAATGTTAATTTTCTTGAAACGGATACAAACTGACGCGAAGCTAATGTTCAGGGCACTAATTTACGCGCGTACTTACTATTTCTGTGTATTTATTATATACACAATTACATAATGGCCTTCGTTTTAATCATAAAATGTCTGCAAACTTGTCCTTAACATTGTGAAATTATTTATTTATTTAGATAAATAAATTATTCACGAATGTTTTTAATTATAAGGAAGCAATTTAAATGATTAATATAGAGGTGTTCGTGTTAGAAAATACGCATAGTATACATTTTCAAATTCATATTTACAACGCTTACACATGGGAGTTTCTAATGTCATAAAATATTAACGAATTGTCGGTCCGGAGCTCGTTGCTGTGTTACAACTGCCTGTAGAAACACGAAGCGTGAAAAAGATTTCGTAAATAAATTTGTCAAATTAACATGCTTTCGTTATTCCTGCAGACCTCTATTTACTTGAGAATCAAATACGATAATCTGTATAAAGTGTTTTGTAAATTAACACGAACTGTTCGTAGATATAAACAATGCTGTAACTTCGTATTATTGAAACGTGGGTGTACACTTCGATAATTATAAAAGTAAAATTAATGTGATACGTTATGTGGATATGAAATCCTCCTCTAGTATACATATTGTAAATGCGCAAACATACTTCTCTGACATTTGTTCGTTCATACACGTGATAATTTAAGTGATTGTAGCATACGTAAGGTTTTCATTTCTTATTGTAGAATAGAATACAAAGATTATTTTTTAACCTTCACTGTATGTATCTAACTTAGACTACAAATGCTATTTTGAACACATTGAATGAAAGGTAATCTTGTGTACGTTTTATAAAAATTCTACAAAGTTGAAATTATTATTTAATAAATTAACAAAAATTAATTGAAAACAGCATTCGCCAGATGTATTGATAAAAATTTTCTTTCGCGACTCCTTTTGGATTTTGCGAGACGCCTTGCTTAATTCCATTTTTTACTTGTTCTTTTTACTGCTCTAAAAAGAAGGGTGTAGTGGCAAACATATATTTTGTACAAATGTTTAGAGATACAAATTTTAATACGCGATTTATTTTATTTCAACCATTTTAAATCAGCACATAAAGCAATATGATCACTTGGAAACACGACAGACGGAAGAGCCGTATGCAAGCTAAGCTCATCTTTACTAGGAAGTGGTACAATTTGTTCGATGCCTAAATAATCCTTTTGGTAAAATATGTAATCCAAACATCCGCTAAAGGCACCCGTATAATTTGTATATTCGGGAGTACCACAAGCACTAGATAAATTAAGATCGTGTTTGAGGGAAACATTGTCTACAGATTCATCAGGACCTATAATAGAGTAAGAGATAATATACTCCAAATAAATATAAAATTTTTTTCTTTTTATATATAATATAATTTACTATATTAACATGACATTAAATTAACTTACTAAATTTCCATTCAGCATGATTTTCTGGTATATACTTTTCGGTCATTAATCGATAAACACCACTCTCCGGTCCACTGTTAAAATCTCCACAATAAATAATACTAACATTGCATTCTGGATTCTAAAAATGTTTCGTATGTTATAGATGTATGAAGTAGATTGCAATTATGTAAATTATTGAACGTAAGTACCTGTTCTATCATTTCTTTGGCAAATTTTTGTAAATAAATCAGACCATAATATGCTTGTAACAAACGTATATACCCTGCTTGCGGTCGGTAATATAAGTGCGTATTGCCAACAAGTAAGATTTCAGAGTTTTCTTTAGATCGTAGTGTCAATGTCTGCAATATAATTTAAATGTATAGTGCACCGTTAAGTACGAAGAAATTATATTTAATAGTAAAATAGAGAATATTGTGCTCTAGTACCTGTATAATTGTACTTCGATTTAAAAATGTCTGTTTTACATTTTCGTTTTGTATCTGTGACCAAATGGTATTAAATCCACTGAAATCTGTAGATTGAGACATAATGCTATAATCGCAATTTAATTTATCGAATCTTTCCTGATTGTAAAATATTGCGAGTCCTTCTCGCGTGTCACCTTTAAGATTATATATACCATCGTAGTTTAACGCACACAGAGCCACTAAATCATTTTCATAAACATTTTTATCTACTTCTTGAAGGCATATTATATCTGCATTATATCCTGTAAAAATTTGTTACCCATACTTAAATTTATTCATTTTAACAATAAACACGAAACATTAATGAAAGAACCAAAGTTAAAAAGTTACCTATCAATTCTTTCAGAATTAATAATTTTCGATAATCCATCGATAACGCATATGATGGACAATATGGATATAAAACATCTTTGGATAATTCAGTATCAGAATATATGCTTGCCAATATATTATACGATGTTACTCTGAAACTTCAATTCTGTTTTTAAAAGTAGCAATTTTTACTTCTACTTTTGTATGTAAATTTTAAACAATATATTTATGAATATTTGATGGAAGTAGAATAATAAAGTTTCAACACTTATTTGGCCAGAACTGGGTTACACTGACCCAGCATTGATATATCATGTTGCTCGGTACTACACCTTTTTGCTAGAAATTTACCTTTTACCGGACAATTTATTTTTGGTAAAGCCATGTCTGACTTCAAAAGGGCACGGTCCTGGGCCAGCTTCTACAACGTAATCAGATGTGACTTCTATCGTCGGTCCAGTTTGTGTGTTATTTCTTGGTATACACATTAGTTTTAATTGACATCCTATATCAGATACGTTAGGTGTGTACAAATAATCTTCTCCGACAAGGATCCAATTTCCTTTATTACGTTTGTACCAATTAAAAGTTGACTTTAATTTATCAACATAAGTGGATTCAAATTTTGTGGGATAAGTTGGAAAACCGGTTAAAATGCTCGATGGTAATTTTATCTTGGTGACACACGGTACATTCTGTTTTAATATACATTCTGTATCAAAAATGACCAATTTTATATTTAACGGATCCTCTAAAATCGACTTACAAGTAAGTTCTCCATCCATGACAAAGTCATTTTTTACGAGTTTAATCGTTTTATCTTTGATGAAATCATCCACTGTACTATTTGTTGATTCTGTATCTTTAGACATTTTGCTCATTTTTTTCATTTTTCTCTTTAGATTTTTCATAGCGTAATTAGTTATATTTACGTTCATTCTCTGAAGAAAAGTATTTATGGATTCATTCACGTTTCTATTAAAATTGAATTGCCTGTCTACGTGTAGATTAGGATTCACATAACGAAGTGACACTTGAAAGTTGTCGCTACCCTCGTCGTATTTTATAATTGCCTCATTCATGTTTATCACTAGCTTCTGCTGAGAATAATACTTGGGAAGATGTTGGCTAAGTTTTAAATATGATAGAAATGAGGTTAGACACTTTGAATGAAATTTACTCACTAATACGGACATCTTGTGCTATCATATTGTGCAACTTACGCGGTATACGTATTATACAACGTTAAAATAATAAATTTCTAGGCAAGAACTACAAATAACGCGTAAAAAACAGAGCCCAAAAACACGTGTACTTGTTACAATGGTCTTTTATTGTTTAGTTAACAAACTGTCATAGAGTAACGGAATGCATTATTACCAATCAATCTGCCAATTGGTACTTAACCACAGACGAGGTATAGGAGTAGACCATTCACCCAATGTATTTTTTCGGCCCATTTTTCTGGGACTCTAGAGTCCCATTACCATTTTCTAAATTAGATCTAAATTACCGAGTACTCTATTGTTGCATTAATAAATAAATTAAAATTAGTTTTCGATCGTAAATAATTGAGACGCCATCTAGTGTGCAAAGAGGTGAATTACATTTTCTCGACAAACTTGGCCGTTTTGTGGTAGATGTCGTCTTGATATATATAGATATACAGCGAATTAGGTAGGGGTGGTGCCCATTTAAGTGTCCGCGAATGGTGTAAGGGGCATTGATAGGGGATAGCGTGGTCAGTTATGTGGACACTACTCTAGTTATTATAATAATAAGCTTTAGACACTGTTATTAATTAAATTGACGTACATATAGTCTCAACAAGTTAATGTGTATTATGCTTGACACGATGTTAAATCGTGTATTTGCTCAAAGAAACGTAGAAACTGGGAATATGTGTTGCAGTGTCAAGAGGGCAGTGCCAGATACGCGTATGTACGTGAGCTCGTGGAGTTTCGGAAAGACGACAAAGGCAAACAGACGCATGCCCACTTTCTCTCGCTTCGTGGAAGTCGAGAGAGAAAGGCTCACATTTGCCTTCTCGCTCCCACACAACTGAAATCCGACCTCCCGACAACGGCATACGATTTGGATTCTCGAGCCGAGATTCTCGACTTCCCAGGCATTTTTACTTTCCGACCTATGTAGGCGCACATAAGCAAAGTACCCATAATGAAAAAAAAATTTTGTAAAATTTATTTTACGGAAATATACGTTTTAAGACCTCCTGATCATATTTTAATTATTGAAAAAAAAGAAATTTTTTTTTATTCCCATGTATGAGCACACATATGTATATTATTAATACGATTTTTGAAAATAAATAAAGTAAAACTTATCTCATTGAAATTTTTCTCTAGAAGTTGAGCTGATGAATACCTAGAAAAAAGTATTAGACAACATTTAATTTTGATTTAGATTAAAAATCAAATTTATATTGTTTTAAATTCGCAGCCATTAGCTCGGTGTTACCCATAATGAAGAAGTTGTTCTTCAAAGGTAACACCGATTACCAGGTCTCACCACGAGGAGGTTGCTGCGAGTGGAGACCCAAAGTGAGATCGATGGAACAAAGTTCGATCGACCTTCCTTTTTACACACTAGATTACGCAAAAAAAAGATGCCAAGTAATTACTGTTCTAAAACAAAGGAGGAAGGTAAATTGTGGGAGACGCGACACGACGAAACGCGACACAATACTGCACAGTGCAGTAGGAACATGAGGTGCGACACGTACCGAATAGCGGGTCAAAAGGGGCAGCTCGTTACCTCTTAGCAAGTCCAATTGAAGGGGAGGAGAATCGACGCACCAGACACGGGTTCCCCATTTCTCCAACGCGTCCTGCTGGGAGCCCGTAGGACCCAACCCGGGACGTCTGACAAAGGAGAGAGATCCTGAATCGGGGCTACCGCAGACAGGAACAGGTCCCCTCTACGGCCGATGACTCTTTCCCTAGAATTGTCTCACCAGAGGACGGCAACCGACCCTTCGAACCATCTAAACGGCCGATCACTTGCTTTCTACATTAAAGCAGCGGTGACCGGAGAAACGAGACTGGAAAAGAAGCTATTAATTCATTCGTTACTTGGCAATCTACGCATTAAATAAAATAATATACAATGTAAACTGAAAATTAACGTCGTAGGTGGAATTGAGAATTAATGTGAATTAATGAAACATAGGAAATCTGGGAAAAAGAAACAAGGAAAAGAAAAATTCGACGTTAATTTTTACATTCGCGCCGCGCCTTAAAATTAATCGCTTACGTTTAACGATGAATCCGACGTCATCTGTTGGCGACCTAGAAATTGACCTGCATAAAAACTAACGTAAAAATTAATAGTTACATATTAATAATACATGTAAAAAAATATAACCTAAATAAGAAATGAAAATCAAAACCAAAACCTAATTGATTGAAGGAATGAATTGACCAACCCAACGCAGTAAGATAAACAAACGAATTAATAGGAAAAAAACAAACCAACGATGTGCAATAATAGATTAATTTGGAAAGGAACAACCCAACGAAGCGCAAGACGAATAACAAAATAATTGGAAAAATATCAAACCAACGATGTATAGATAAAACCTGAAAGGAAAATAATTGAATAAATTAGTGGAACGAACAACCCAAATATTACATCACCTATATATATATAAATGAAAAAGACAATATTGGGATTAGTTATATTAATATTGGTTATGCGTATACCAAACGGTGATCCTTCCTGGTCAGCATCGCAGAATCAGAGAATCTGAAACAGAAAGAAAAACGCGTGACAGTACCCCCGGCGGTTCCAGGAGTACTGAAAAGAGTTGCCCAGCTGTGTCCGCTTTTATGCAGTCAAGCCAAAGAATCAACGAGCCAATCAGCAGCCAGTCAGCAGCCTTCCGGCTTCAAGAAATTCTATAAAAACCGTGCCCCCTGGCGCACCCGCGGCAGATATCCCTCAACCACCAAGCAAGACGGACCGTATCGAGATGAAGAATTTAATCGAAGATTTCCATTCAATCAAAATCGAAGATGGCGGCCAAGAAGATGGTTCACGAGCAGCGGCCAAGGGACAAACCGGTCTTTTTAAAGACCAAGAAAACCTCATATTTGGGAACAACACCAAAACTGAACACCAAAACTGAACACCAAAACTGAACAAGTTTTATATTTAACAACTCAGAGACACTTTACATCTCTGTTTTGTAACAAGTTTTATATTTAACAATTCAGAGACACTTTACATCACTGTTTTGTAACAACTTTTATATTTAACAACTCAGAGATACTTTACATCTCTGTTTCGTAACAACTTTTATATTTAACAATTCACAGACACTTTACATCTCTGTTTTGTAACAACTTTTATATTTAACAACTCAGAGACACTTTACATCTCTGTTTTGTAACAACTTTTATATTTAACAACTCAGAGACACTTTACATCTCTGTTATGGAACAAGTTATGCAATAAACCTGAACATGGTATATTTGCCTATACGTATAGGAAGGAAATTCGTCGTTAGTATTGTCGCCCGTCAATGCACTTAATTATGCAAGATCAGTATACTATCTAATTTTATTTTTTATTATACCGGTTTGTAATATCGTAAAGATCAATGCAAAAACATTATGCACAGCTCTTGTATTTCTTTGATTTATCCAAGTAGTCAAAGTATAATATTTAACAAACTTTTGATTCAAATAAAATAACGAATAACACACAATTTGACTACCTGTTACATGCAACCTATGTATAAATGCATAATAACTAATATTGATATACGCATAACGAACTTAGTTTGTGATATGAAACATTAAGAAAAGTGTAAATTAATAAATAGGTTTCAAAATGGGTATTCCAGGTTTAACAACTTTCATAAACAATCGTTCAGATCGTTATTTGGAATAATTCGAGCCATGTGATAGGTATTTAGTTATTTAGCTGTCAAATATATAATTCGTACAAGTGCAATTGTGTTTTTGGCGGTGATTACGATAAATACGCTCAACGAGTATCGGATTTTTTTGACGATTTGTTAAAGTTATTCGAAGCTGATAATGCTATAGCTACTGTAGCAAGGATATTGAATTGTCCTCTATTGAGTTATGATTCAGATTTTTATGTGTTTGGGACATTGCACATACCATTTGATACATTGGACAATTACACGGTGAAAAGTTCAACTGGAAATGGTTACACGAAACGTTGTAAAATTTATAAAGTTGAACACTTATTAAATTCTTATAGAGGTTTAAGTCAATCTACACTGCCATTAGCTGCAATATTACTAGGCAATGATTATGTAAAACGTGGTACATTTAGAAACCTCTTTCGTTATTTAAAGATACGACGAATAACAAGAAAAAGGTATAGTAATCGTCAGTATTGTATAGAAGCAACTTTACAATGGTTGAGCGGATTCTACACCTTGGACAAAGCACTCATTGGAATACTATGTAGATCACCTAAAACCGTAAGACAAAAAATGGCTATACAAATGCATCTACAGAAATACTTGCTTACTTCCATTGGGGTTTTCACAGGAATATGCAGCTCGTGCCACAACACATTCTAATGTACATAGAAGAAACTGATAAAAATGGAGACTTTGAATCAGCAGAAGAAGAAGAAGAAGAGGAAGAAGACGAAGTTGAAATATTAGACATGCTTAAAGGGGTCAGAATCTGCTACCACTAATGCACTAGCTAATGTACCTAATTTGTTTGTAGATGAATTTCTTACGGGCAATTATCCTGCATATTTTATGGACTTGTTGGTTCGATGTTTATATATTTGTCCTGTACAAATAGAGGATTATTCCTATCCATTGAGCAATGTAATAAGTTTAAAAATTATTAGAGTTATATATGCATTTCTGCAATCAGGAATTAATAGAAAGAGAGGTTTCATGAAATACATGATGAGAGACTGTAATAAAAAGCTTAAATGTTACGAACCAGAAGGCACTGACACTAAATTTTCTTCCCCATTACTGTCCCTATCTAATCTTAGAGAAGTACCATTAACGAGTCCAGGATTAAAAAATAATGTACAAACATGCGTCATTGATTTTTCATTACCATTTGAATTTAAATTCAAGTTATATAGACACAAATATATAAGCAAAGCCCATATTGAATGAAAAATTGACACGTAAATACACGTTTCAAGACCCCCTGATCATGTTTGACATAAAACAATACTTTGGAAATAAATCGTTTGAATATAGTTTATCAAGTAAGACTTTCGAAATTATTTTCAAACGATTTATTTTCTAATTGTTCTACTATTTCAAATAATAATTTTTTGATCTTATAGCAAAGAACGTTTACTTAATATCAATTCAATAA